AAAGGGCATGAAATACCAATTTCTATACATTCAATACAGTATATTTAAACATATAGCTATTTCAAGGGTAAAAATAAGGAAATACACAATGTATGCCAAAGTAATCAAAAACACTGTCCATTTTGACGTACACCAAATTATCCGCCATTTTGTCTGATTCTGATTGAACGAAATGCGATGGTACTTCCAGACTTTGTGATTGCTATTTGGATGTGTTTGCTTTTTCTACATTTTGTAGTATTCGTTAATAAAAATGTGTGGAGAAAAAACTTTAGAAACATTTTCAATGATATCAAATATAAGTGTAAGTTCTCAAATCCTGCATCAAATATCTGAATGATCTCTAACTATCTAGTTAACTTAACCTTTTATCCCGTATCAGTATGTGGACAATAGTAAACATTGTAATTCAAGCTGCACTTAAAACAAGCAGTATCTTACTGGTGGCTATATAAACTTATTGACCCCAGGTCATTTTGGTGATTTAAGCTGACCAACATCAAGCCAAATATTTTAAACAAAATAGCCAATATTCATCTTTATTTTCCATTATTTATGTTGTTTTAAAAGACTAAAAAAAATTTATACCAATGATATATAAGATCTTACCTAAAGATCTGTTGATTTTCTGAATGAATGAGGAAACAGAAATGGTAGCATTATGATGTTAAAATCATAGTATAAATGTGATGTTTTACATGTTGGTTCAATGGGGAACTGCTTTAGGCCTAAGATTCTTTTCCTGAAAATGGGCTAGACATCTATTGGCTGTTTATAGAGTATTTTCAACTAATCTTGCTAGGCTAAACTCCTGTATTGATTAAGTTATTTTAGTCTTCAAGACCCTGGGCTTTCAACTCTAACAACTGTGTCACAAGGGCTTGTAGGGCTAAGGTTATTTATGATTATAACCGTTTTGTCAACTTTCACAAGTATTAAACATGGTCTAGTTCTCTAGGGCTCGGGAGAAGATTAAACTTATGGCATTTCCGAATTTAAAGATGCAACAAAAATTATGCATGAATTTCAAGGGTGATAGACTACTTAATATTGAACTATCATAGATGTTGCAAAATTTAAAAGCTTCCCTATTCATTGAGAGATATCACCTCCCATGAATCAAAAGGCTTGTAACCTGACGTGTGCTCTGCCAATAAGGGAAGATAATCATATGGAGTTTGGATGATGGGACATTCCTCCTTCGGTTGTTGACCACTTATCCCAGGGGCCTGGCAATGTTGAACTTACCCGTGGAGTTGATATCATAACATTCACTAAAAATATCGTTTTATATTTAGTCACCTATATTTACACACATTATGCCGTTTATGGTCACTTATAGCAAAAACAATTTCATAATTGCCACTGGGAACCCCAATGCGCCAAAAAATAACATGTTGTTAGTCGGAGGTCAATTGACTTTGAAGTGACGAGACATATCGCGGTGAAACCACGGGCGCAAACATAGCTGGTTGATTGAAGCGAAAAACAAGCGGTAAGTGATGGCGATATCCACAAGGACCGAGAGGCGGGTGAACAATTAAATACTCTGTAAGCTAAGCCCATGCTGTGGTATTGGTAAGCAATGCACGGGATAATCTCCCATTTAGACCCTGGGTTGCTGTATTTAATCTAAAACGTCGCATCGGGCCCGCTGGTGCGCTATGAAGTCCTGAAAACATGTTTTCGAATGAACATTTCGAGAAACAATATGTCCAGTCTGTGGTAGCCAAAAACTTGGCAGAAACGTGTCATTAACGTCAGTTTGTGTATGATTATTTTGATATAGTTACAGTGATGTTTCATCTTCACATCAAGTTGTTTAACAGAGTAAACTTTAATTTTGTGTAACCGCTGTTTCGCCCCAGTTTAATTGGTAAATAAAATAAATGGCACAACAGTCTATAAAAAGTCAGCCAAAATAGTCTTCGTCTTGTGCGATCAAAATCTGACATACCAGGATTGACATTCCAAAAAAACGACAATTGAGAATATTGTGGCCAAACATTTTTCCGAATTTCGAGCCAACCTTACATGTACAAATATGGAAACAAAGAAAACACTCTTTCTGTTATTCCTAACTTTCGGTATCTTGTACGTAGTCCGGAAGGAGAAAATGGAGAAGGCGTGGCTTATCACGATGGAAAACATATTTTTCTTAAATACTGTGCCTGAAGCCTCTGTCACATTTGCTCTACGGCGGGTGTACGGCGGCCGTAGCTCAAAAAAATCGATATAGAAAATCTACATCGTACTGCTTGTCCCCATATAGACTGCCCATTTCTCTTGATTTTGGGGAGGTGTCGATCAAATGCATTTTTGAATCGCCACAGTGTACAGTGTTATCCTGGGGAGTGTTATACTACTATATGGTATAAAAATAAAGAGTAATATTTCTCGATGTTCTGATTTATCGAGATGACCCGGGCTCTTAATAACTCCAGACTCTTTTTCGGGCGATAGAATTGATATCAGTAGGCTATTGAATATGCTTTTGTATTCAGCATATAAGATAATTTTTTGATTCACACTGTGCAGTTGAAATAAGTATCTTTAATAACGAAATGGACTAAATAGTAGTCCTTTTCATCAACATCTTTTTACGATTACAATAAAGCAATTTTAACAATGAACTAATGATTTTAATTGGCTTACCCCCTCCATTTGGTCAACGATGACCTGCTGATGCTTTTATAAATGTTGTATTATTTCACAGGTTTAGTGTAAAAATCACCAGGACTTTACATTAACATGTGGTGAAAGTTGTTTTACTGATAATTTGCAGTGCCGTTTTAAAAAGATGCATACAACTTTACCACAAGGCTGCTCCTTGAGAAAATACCGTAAATAAGTGCAACAATTTGTTATGATTTACTAGTAATGAATTATAATTTAATTGCCTTTTTGATTTTCCGTATTATACTAGTAAAGTACAATAAGCAGGAATCTATTTTCTATGTGGATCCGAGAATTAACGTTACGTTAATCTGTTACTGTTTTAAATAAAAGAACGGATGTATTTTTACTCCAATTTTCTCATTAGTGTATCTTTAACTCAATTAGTGGTCCGATTTACAAGTTCCGAAATTTCCAACACATTCCCCTGGCTTATCTCAAAATTCTAACTTTTCCCAATCATTTTTGAGGTTATTCAACAGAATCTAACATTTTCTAGTCAAATACCCTTTGCATTTGTTGAGCATCTTAAATGATATTTTCGCCTGGAACTTATTAAACGATGCGCTCGGGGTTCTAGTCAAGGGGAAATTATGACTGAGGTTTCCCCTTGAAGCCCTTTCATACTCAACAAGGGTCAGTATGGATTTATACAGGGTGGGCCAAAAAAAACGCCACTTTTTTTTCAAGAGACTATAACTTTTTTATTTTCCAACCTACATACCCCAAATTTTGCAGTTATATAGTGCCAAGGGTTCTTAGTAATAATATAATGTAACAAGTCCTTCAACTGGGATTATATATGATCTAAAAGAGGAGTTCAATCGGTCCGCCGCCCCGTTTGAGGATCAATTTTAGTCTTAGTCGCCTTGCTGATATAGCAGTATCAATGAAATCTTAGCTATATTTTTTTCAACGTGTCTTAATTGCCAACTTTAGTTAAGCATTTTTTTAGATTGGGTGCCTTCATACCATCTCCTGGAGACCTCCCCATACCCTATACTCACTTGGGTTTGAATTTGGCCTATTAGCTTGCGGCCATCAGGGCATATCAGTTTAGGAACATTATGCAAATTATGCTTATTTCTCATTGCACACCACATGTTTAAGTGAGACGCTGGTGACATATTTTATTCAAGTAAAAGTGTATAATTCATGATCAATGGCTAGATAACAACCTCAAGTTTCATGTGGTATGTAAATTATGATTTTGTATCAAAAATTAAAAAAGTTATGGCATTTTGAAAAAAAAAGTGGCGTTTTTTTTGGCCCACCCTGTATATAGTAGGACCATAATCCCTGGTGTACTATAAATACCGTTTCCGATAGTTTTATTTTGATTGTTAAAAGCGAGCTTCATCTACTAATGTACCAAGACAGAGGATCGTAAATGCCTAGAGTGCCTCGGACACATTTGCTCTACGGCGACCGTAGTTCCCCGAAATCGCAGGAAGTGCCGCAGTAGGGTGGCCGTAGATATTAGACAAGCCGTAACCAAACTGTTGTGTCAGATTGGCCGTAAGTATCGGCAGTGGCAGCCTTGTCTCTGACTTGGTACATAAATACAAAGGGGACGCCTTTCGGCGACCGTGCGTCATCATTTCAAAGGTCATACGGCAAAGATTTGTCTGCATAAATTCAAAATACACCATACGGCTGCTAAAGCATATGCGACTGGTAAAGTATGACACCTTACAAATTCTGCAGTGGACGTAAGAAAGGTAATGACCGTAGATATATCGTAAGGTCGCCATAGCAAATGAAATTGAGGTGTAATGTGGTCCTATTTTGATTTTTTTGAACATTTCAGTTTTTTCGGCAATGGCATCAATGTACGAGGCCTTATCTGTCATTTGTTAAAGACGGCGAACGCGGACCGCCGAACACCAACCGCCGGTCAGAGCATGGATAGTACACATTCTTTTTTATTTGTCTTGAAACATTGTTACTTTACAAAATATTGTCAAAGTAAAAACAAAAAGGAGATGAGAGTTTGGGAAGTCTATGTAAAGGTCAAAAGCTTCAGAAACACTAAAATCCACAAGTTGATTTTCAATATATATTTCTGTAGTATATTAAATAAAATGGACTTAGATTGTAGAGAACAGATATCTTTAAAACTGTACTACATTTAATTGTTAAGTGTTACACACATAATAGACTGTAAATATACAAATTAATATACAATAAAATATATTACACGCATTGGAATAGATTGCAAACTCATTTTTGATTTCTGAAGTTGGTCTAAAACATTTAGGGACACAACCTAGTAAAAACCTAGTAAAAACCTAGTTGAGGCATGAAAGGACAGTTGTATGGCAATGGAGTTGAAAGGTCTCTCTGAAGTTTGGCTTAGAATGAGAACTCAGACCCTTCATACATTCCTCTGGGTAGAGCATCCAATGTAGTCTTTCATTAAGCCCCAAATAATCCCTTGCCTATGTGCTTGGTTTATATGCAATGGGATTATATCATTGGCTGTAGGCAATGAGATTTCATGCTCTTTCCTCAAATACAAGTTCTTGGATGAAATGGACTGGGGTTGTACTCTAGATCGTTTGTACACTATGTAGATGTACTAGGATTTGTTGAAACTCCCATCAAGCACACTATATTTCCTCGAATACATGTTCTGAGACTACATGCACTGGAACTGCATGCTCTGGGATTCAGGGACGCTCCCAGTGCCAGTATGTCACATATATATGATCCCCTCATTATAACATAGGAGCATCACATTATACTGTACTGTACAATACTTATAATACATGGTTGAAGATATATACAAGAGATTCCCATGAATTAGAGTTTATCCACTTTCTGTGCAAATATTGCCACTTGTTTCTCGAGCTCCTTCTTCAATGCTGCCTCTCCAGAGTTGGGATGTTTCTTCACAAAATCTGCAATTGCCATGTAGAACTCAGTCTGAAAAAATATGTAGTAAATAATTTTCTTGTTAGACACAACTTCATGGACAGGGCGTAGCAAGACATGAGGCAGAGAAAAAATAAAAATTGAAAAGACTTGTTATTTTAGAGATTTTTGAAATAAAAATTTGATAAGAAAAAGTCAACTATTTATTATTGAATATTTATTTTATTAATTTAATAAATAAATAAATAAAAATTTCTCAAATATTCAAGATTGAATTAATTTTTATAATATTGACACCAGTATTTATCACTTTTTATTCAATTTTTCACTCGCCTATTTATATTCACATTTGCCTCACTTATTTTTTAACACTTGTCTTGCCCCTTAACTTACAAAACAAAATATTTTTATCCAGATTTTGTCATTCATCTTCAGTTTGTTTAGATAAAATCGATAAGTCTGTCATCTTTATGTGACACCAAGATGGAGAATGAAATTAATAAAAAGTTATACAACTATGCCATCTATCTAAGTTAATCAAAGTTAAGTTAACAAACGCATAAGAGATTGTGAGAACTCCTAGAAAATACCAGTGCTCATGTTAAATCTTCCCAAAAGGATAATACTGGATTTTTTGGTGAATGTTTTAGCTGAAATTCTTAATTGTGAATTCAGATTAAAAATAACAAGCAATTCCTCATGATGAGGGCAAAAAATCTGCTGGGTGCAAGGTAATGTCCACATTTCGATGGGTGCAAAAGAATTTTCTCATGGGTGCAATGCAATTTTCAACTGGGTTCAAATGAACTTTCCATTGGGTGTAAAGAAGTTGGGTGCAAAAGAATTTTCTCATGGGTGCAATGCAATTTTCAACTTGGTGCAAATTAATTTTCCATAAGTTGCAAGGTAACTTTAAAACTTTAAACTTGGTGTAAATGAATTTTCCATGAGATGCAAGGTAGTTTTAATACTTTTCAACTGGGTGCAAATTAAATTTTCACTGGATATGAGGTAGTTTTCAAATTTTCAACTGAGTGGAAATGAATTTCCCATTGGGTGCAAGGCAGTTCAAATATTCAACTAGGCGCAGATGAACTCATCAAAAGTAAATGAATTGAATAAAAGATTTTCATGGTATTAACTGGTTCTAGTCCTTGGTTGCTTCAAAACTGACCTGATATGCTTCTATTGTAGATTGGCTGCTGACTCTGTCATACAGTTCAGCTGCAACCCTGATCCCAGTAATTGTTTTAAGCATTTCAGCATTCTCAGTTGGTTTGTCCAAATAAGCTAACAATGCCAGCTGAAATGTAAATACATAGCTAGAATCATTGAACATACATATATATATTGTAAATGGTATACTGGCACTTTATTAGTCAATTAAATTGCCACATACAGGGTGGTCAAAAAACCCTATCAGTATTTTCCTCAATTCTTCAAAATTACTCCCTGATATATGACATGCTTGAGCATCATTCAATATCCTACCTACACTGCATGCAGAGTCTAGTTATAAACTACCCTCTGCATAGAATATACAGTTTAGTAGAACTCACCCCTCCCCCCCCCACCGACCTATGCCCATGGCAGCCCAGATCATAAATCAATTCAAACCTACCGAGCTGATCTTTTCTCAACCAATCAGCAAGCTGGAAGGAACACATGATAAATGTGCTCAGGGGGAAATAATCCCAGGGTTCAAAGAAGACATATCATAGACAAGACATTTCACATGTCATGTAAATCTATATTGAGAAGACATATCGTCCCGATTGGTCAAATCGCAGGCAAACAATGGGGGTTTCAAAATTTTCAAAATTTTTAGTTCGGTGAGTTCAAAGATTTATTATAAACTGAAAGAGTGAACATGAAGCTCTCTTTTAAAGAAGCGAAGTTGAACAAATGAAATGGTTTATCCTACCAGCTTACAAGAGGTGTCACGGATACCCGATTTTGTTCCGATCCGCGGAATTATGCCCTCGGAATTGTTCTGTTCCGAAGCAAAATGTTCCGAACCGAACCGTTCCAATTTTTTTTGTTCCGTGACATCTCTACAGCCTACCATATTAATTTTATGATCATCAGACTGATAGTCACAATGTTACAGCTCTTTGAACAACATGCTCCAGTGGCCACTAAAGCACTATCTTTTGAAATGCTGACTGAATTTTCAAAAAGTTTCTGATTCAAGAGTGTATGAACACCTCAAACAATCAAAATCTGCATTTACATTTACATACTTTATTTGTAATCAAAATATTGTAACACCTATCAATAAAGAAATGACTTGCAAGGAAGGTATTGAAAATCTCAATCTTGAAAAATTCTCAAATTTTCTTTGAAAATCTGTCAACTTTCTCTATAGCCAGGGGAGGGAGATTTCCAAAAGATGAGTGTTGGTATTGGCACGTTCGATAACCAATTTTATATAGGGCCATATTTGCCATTGAAATTAATCTCAGAATGTTCGCTGTTGTTTTATGAGTGTTCTCTTCAAGTTTGGATTGAGTTACTTAAATAGTAAGAAATGATGATGTTGAACTGATGTTGAACTGAAACAAACGACATTTCCACGATTTCAATTTTACTTTGAGCATGCGCAGCTATGAGTGAGCATGTGCTCATGATCCTGCGATATGATTGGACTTCATATGTAGGTGTGATTTAAATAAATTATGTTCATGAATATGAAATAATTATGAAAGCTACTGATGTGACATCATCCGGAGTGGTGTCACATTCTCAGATTACACATATGATCTTTGAAATAGACATCAATATCACTGGAAGTTGCCAAAACCCTCCATTAAAAATATGGTCAACTATTTTGTGCTTTTATCAACAGACACTTTCATATTTGTGTGGCTTTATTTATTAGAGATAAAGCTCGAGTCCATTTCACTGCTTCATTTCGTCAGTAGAACGACAAAAATAAGAAATTGGGAGACCACTGTGCAATAATATATGGAAAAGTATATTCATAATGTACATGAATGACATTTGTATATTTCAGATTTTTTAGTTTTTTGTGCAATAAGCCTGTGCCGTCTTGTAATTTGAAGAATTTCAGCCAATAATCTTATTGAAAATAACATGGAAGAGAAACATCCAAATATAAGAGGCCACACACTTTATAAGCCAAACTAGAAGCAATTCAAGATATACAAATGTCATTCATGTACATTATGAATAAACTTTTCCATATATTATTGCACAATGGTCTCCCAATTTCTTATTTTTGCCATTCTACTGACAAAATGAAGCATTGAAATGGACTCTAACAGCACAGACCGTCCAACTGACAGTCCCACAATTTGCATATTTTCACCCATTTGCTGAAGAAATTGAAGTCATGCCAGCTTTTTTTGTGGACTTTTCACGTGAATCCCGTATATGTCAAACATTTGGTTCCAAATTTTTCTATCCAGGTGTCCACAATTTGAAGGAAGGTGTTCAACATTTGTAAGTCACACATGTTAGGTGTTCCCAAGTTGACAGGCCTGACAACAGTTCGCATCACTTGAGTATGACATGCTTGCCTATAGCCAGCTTTTACCAAGAGGGATAGCTTTTGACGAGGGGGGAGTTTTTTGACAGTTTGGGCTAGAAATATTCGAAAAGTGCTCAAAATGGTGAAAACTGCAGGATTTTGAAAGAATTTCCAAACAGGGGAGGAGCTTCCACTGTCTCAGCTCACCTTGGCTACGGGTCTGACATGTTTAGGCCTTTTATGAATAAACTGACTCCAAAATCAAGAAGAAAATAAAGATTTTCCGAAGATTTTATTATGTCCGATTCTTATTGAGTATATTTATTGTGTCTAGAGATCAAGAGGAGGAATCTGGCGGAGGTCCGTGTTTTCGTGAGCATATAGAGATCATTGAAAAATGAACTACATATACATACCTGCTGTAAAAGGTCAGGATTTTGAAGTTTCCAAGTGGAAAGATTAAATATTTGGTCCATTTTGTTTCTGTTTTACGGAGTGAATATTTATTCTGACACGCCAAATATTATTTTTGCGATGCCTGGTATTACTCCACCATTGATTTTGATTCACATTTCACGACTGCTAGCGCCCCTGTTAGCTTATCAATCCAGGCCCGTTTTCCGTGAGACTTGGTCAGACTGCCACTAGGATGATATGAATTAATCTGTTACCAGTAATGTTTTATTTCTTCATAGACGGGTAAAACTCGGGTAAAACGCCATCAGCTATCGAAATAGTATGAAATGACCAAGGGTGCGTGACGCATGATATCATATTCAGAGAATTCATTAACAAGAGTTTGACATGATGTCCCAATAAAACCGGAACCACATACAATCATAAAGATGTTTGTCATCATCTTGGCCTGCAAAAGCTCCTGTACCGGCCGTATCAGCTTTTTAAAAGAAACAAACGCTTTTTTCAGTCACTAATTGATTAATGGCATTAAAGTCAAGACAGATGTCAAAAGAAATATCAAGAAAACAGCCCTATTATTTAAACTTTTCGCCTTTTTCAAAATGGATACCTTATCCATAGTAGTGTATAATTAGTATTCACTTTTTGGAGTCATAGCAAAGAATAACAATGCATTAACATTACAAAATGCCACCACTTAGTTGCTCACAATACCTTTAGCTGATCTTGAAAAAATAGGCAATTTGAAGTTGAAAATGCCCTTTTTATCTTGAGAAGGTCATTGAATTGAAGGTAAAATGTCATATCTAAAGTCAGATTTGAACTTCCGAGAATTTGTTGATGATTTTGAAAAAGAGGTCAATTTAAAGCAAGTTGTAAAAAGTTCCTTTTTAAATTTTCTTACCTTTAGAATGTCATGGAAGGTCAAAGATCAATTCTAAAGTCAGATTTGAACTTCTGAGAAATTTTGAAAAAATGTCAATTTGAAGCAGGGGTGAGAGAATACCTTTTTGATTTTTTTACCATACCTAAAGTACCTGATTTTGATGTCCATTATTTTATGTCCATTTGGTGGTCTTGTCGGTCTATGATGCCCTCATTGGAGAAATAAGGATTATTGATAACTAGTATTGGTTGAAGTAGTGCAACTCATGATTTTAAGGTAAGTTTATATTTGCATTTTTAATGGTTTAAATTGAACGTTTAATACGAAGGAAATATTTTAATCTAATTCATATGAATGAAATGTATTGATATGTCAGAGTTAACATTTTTGTGTAACCAAGGTTATTATTTTGTTGCATTTGTTACACCGAGACACTAAAAGTATATCCCCCGGTGTCACCGTAAGGGTTGGTTGGTAAAATGTTACCGAATGGGTATTTGTGTATGGCTTCTTTTGTCTAAACAAATGTTGTTGCACTCTATGCATTTTACAGGAATCCAAGGTTGTGGGTTTTCGGGATGCGTTTGTTTAGGGTTTGACATCTTGTACGACCCTCTCCGTCCAAATCTTCTAGCGGGTTTTGTTTTCAGCTTTGCTGGTGCGTTCATTTCGAGTCGTGTCCATTGGGGTTCCCAGCCCCATGCTTTCCACTTTTTGTGTCAGATTATTGATCATCTCTTCAATTACTTTTTCCTTTGGTGGGGCTTCCATCATTTCTCATATTTCTTGGAACTGTAAAATATAAATATGTGATGTCCATTTTGTTAAGTTCTTAAAACGTATGTTGCATAAAACACTTTCGAGATCCGACCTAACGACGTCAGAGGAGAAACGCCAATTATCCGTTTTATATTCAGAAGGTGGAAAGGGGAGACGTTCAATGTTGTAGGGAGTTTTATTTCGTCCTCTGTGTTGTTCAATCTAATACACATTGAATCCCAATCGATAAGAACGTGATGCCAAATGTCACCACCACCTGTCATTTGTCACAGGTACCGAACTCCGAACACCAACCGCCGAGCGCCGTCACAAAAAAAGTCGGTCAGAGTTGTGGGGGTCGACATAAAAACCATTAATCCATATTAAAGATCCATTTCTACCTTCTGTTTTATATCGCATGAACGTTTGTGCGTACTTTGCGTACGCACTTTGTGACAACTATCCATGAATCTGACATCGTGTGAGTCTGCAATCATATCATAGCTTTTAGGCTAATATAAAGATGGCAGCAGGAGTATGATTTCATTGTAATGAGAAGTTGTAAAATTGGGAGTCAGTCGTGTTTCAGCCAAATAAGCACTCAAGGGATGCAGTTAGGCTATTTCTTCACAAACATTTTCTTAAAGCATCAAGTTCACGTGGGGGGGGGGTAGACTGGTTTTCTTGATTTTGAGGTTAACACTGAGAAACCAAACGGTACTGTGGACACTATAAACTATGGGGATATGTTGTGCCCCGCCCAACCCCCCCCCCCTCCCCGGGCAAAGGGACCCCATCCGATTGCATGTGAGAAGACATTTAATTTTGGCACACATCAAATACGCAAATCTATGGAATTCCTCTTTTTGCACGTATGCCCCAGTGCTCCTAAAAATTATCTCACCCAGCCCCCGGGACCCAGCCCCTCCCACCCAGTCAGTGCTATCTGAAGAAGATCATGAAGTCTGATAGCGACTTGACCGTGATCCCGGGGCCGTGATCTTTAGCTCAGGCACCAAAAGATCAATATAAATATACAAGTTGATGTCAAGAGGAAATATTATGAGATTCAACTACCCAAACAATCATATAATGTAAGGATAAAAAGATTAGTGAAAGTAATGTTGTCGGTTGCCAGGTGAACTATTGTCAAAAGTTGAGACTTTTGTAAGAATAAACAAACCGAACGACGCATAATAGCACCTGCATATTACACCGCGTAAGAAGTTATCTCGCAGACTCTGTTAAATATCATTTTCAGAGAATTATGTGTGATTTGAAAGAGAATTGCCATAAAAATGTGATAAATATTGAAATATATTCTTATAATTAATACATTCTCATTTTCAAAATCAATACGAGAGCAAATAAAACAGGAAAATAGTGCGTAGGAATATAATAACAGTAAAGTAGTTCGGATTACATGTGTATTCGTGAAAAAGTTCGGGAACCTCGTATCTCAAGTTATTAACGTATTTTTTACCATTCTTGATGCCAAAATGTGACATCATTAGGGTCATGATATACGGATAATACCATGGAACAACAACAACAATGAATGTTGTCATGCAGAGTAAGTATTCTCGTTTGTTTATAAAATTCGTCTGCTCAATTTTCTTGACATTGATTTTCTCTGTCTTTCCAGTCCAAAATCAAAGATTGTTCAGATTGTATTTATGATTTTGAAAACTGAGGGAGGATATTGTATCTGTCAGATCAGTCAGCATTTGAAAGAGGTTAAACCCAAGACCGATAAGACTGATTTCTATAGTCAAGAGATGATTCAGGATCATTTTTAGGTCTCAGTTCTAAATACAGTCCGAATCCATATTATAGAACTATAGGCAGTCTGACCTTATAGGACCACTAAGTCTTTGAAGGAGGTAGAGCTTGAAGGCCTATGTCAATGACTAGCTTCTCCATCTCTTCCCCCCCCCTCCTCAGGTGCCCATGAGTAAAATGTGTTGACTGGACTAATTGATTTCTTTAGTTTTAGGATAGATACACACAAGACTGAAGAAGAAAATTTGTAAGTCAATAGGACAAGCCATGAATGTTCAAGATAAAAGCCTTAATCATTTAATGTTTATTTTTAGAATACCGTGTCCTTGGGAAAAAGGGCGAGGGCACATTCTCAGAGGTGCTCAAATGCCAGAGCATCAAAGATGGGACTTACTACGCATGTAAGAAAATGAAACAACATTACGACAGGTAAGTGTCACTTTAATGAAACAACATTACGACAGGTAAGTGTCACTTTAATTTCATTGAAATTCTAGTTAAAACACTTGCAGAAACAACATTACGACAGGTAAGTGTCACTTTAATTTCATTGAAATTCTAGTTAAAACACTTGCAGAAACAACATTACGACAGGTAAGTGTCACTTTAATTTCATTGAAATTCTAGTTAAAACACTTGCAGAAACAACATTATGACAGGTAAGTGTCACTTTAATTTCATTGAAATTCTAGTTAAAACACTTGCAGAAACAACATTACGACAGGTAAGTGTCACTTTAATTTCATTGAAATTCTAGTTAAAACACTTGCAGAAACAACACTACGACAGGTAAGTGTGACTTTAATTTCATTGAAATTCTAGTTAAAACACTTGCAGAAACAACATTACGACAGGTAAGTGTCACTTTAATTTCATTAAAATTCTAGTTAAAACACTTGCAGAAACAACATTACGACAGGTAAGTGTCACTTTAATTTCATTGAAACTCTAGTCAAGTAAAACACTTGCAGAAACTATTGTTTCACAAGAAGTTGTTATCAGAGACGTATGGCATGTTATGTTACTTGTTTTTTTCTTTCTCAATATCATGTTCAATTTTAATTCAGAGTCATTTCCTTGAAAAATATGGCAACTGTTTTTAATATTTTAATATGATATTGGGATTCGGAGGATGAGAATATCGTTTATACTGTATTCATTATTTTTATGGAATTTAATAATTTTCGATTTATTATAAAACATCTATATTAGTAATTTTCATAATATAGCCCTCCTGTATCAAAAAACAATAAACATTACCAGATCACATGTATTTAAACTGTGTCAAATTCTCACCTTAGAAATAAAATAATTTGAATATTTTGATGAATGTAGGTTGCTATTATCAAATAAGCACCTGATTCTGGAACATGATCCAACAATCAAATAAACCTTTTTATTTTTTATGACTAAATATACTTCAAGTATATACTTTTCAATGAATATCGACCCATGGCCACTTTAAATGCAAACAAACCTAGGATCTTTTTTTTAGAAAACTAGTACTTTTTGTTTAGATTATGTCGTGTACTCATGCAGAGGTAAAATATAAAAAATAGAGAATTCTACCAATATTCTGTGTGCAATACCTTTCTCCGATTCACGATCCATGATTATTCCAAAGTCTCCCTAAAGTGACATCCATCTCTGAGGTCCAGCCCCTCTAAATAATTCATAAGACCAAAATGCTCCTTTAGTGTGCTGCCCCAAATGTTGTACAAATAGCAAGAAAATCCTTAAAATGTTGCATGTAGAATTTTCTGACATCGAAAAATATTTATGGTCCAATTTCGTCCTCACCAATTAAAATTTATCATTTTTTATTTCAGCATCGAGCAAGTGAATAACTTGCGAGAGATACAGGCCATGAGGCGTCTAAGTCCACATACAAATATCCTGGAGCTGAATGAAGTTGTCTTGTAAGTTTTAAAATAACTATTTGTTAATTGAGTTCCCCTTTTTCATATGTACATGAGATAATTAAGAGAGATATTCAAATATTCTCAAACACTAAGGGGTTGCGACTATGTTTTGTTCAGCAATTTCTCACAAGAGTCATTTTTTCCAAGTGTCACAGATGTACCTACTGAACTTTGCTTTTCAGGTGTTTTGTGATAGGTTTTCTCTGAGGTTTCAAAACGTTCTACTATACTTTTCATACCACTTATACTGTCGTTTAAGCTATCACTTTCTGAATCCTTTGTCAGGGTGCTTGTTGGGGTGCTTTTCTTTTCAGAGTACTTTAATTTTTTTGATTTGTTGCGCCACCTCGAAAATGTAGTTTGCTCATCGTATTTTGTACATGTGAAACATGTTGAACTGCAGGCCTTCCACTGTACATTGACACTTTGTACAAGATTTAAGAAATCATTAGAGAATCTATAGTCCTTTCTTTGAAGATTTCTAGAACATCTCTCACAAACATTCTTGGGATGAATGCACTGATCGTCATATCTTGTATTCAGTTCTGCTTTAATAAATATCTCGCTCTCAAATGACTTACAAGTTCTTATAGAAAATCCCTTTCTTTTTCTCTTTTCTGTTTGAACTTTAAGTCCACATAGTCTACATAAAGTATTTAGTGCCAAAGAATGTTTCTCTGAAGCCATTTTCAATGTTCAAACACTTGTTTCAAGGAGAATCATATGTACTAAGACAGGCAATGAAAAATCCCATGGAACATGAAATGCAAATCAGATTTTGAGGGTTGAATTACAGACATTGCTAGATTAACCCATTAGCCCCAGTGATTAAATGAAGTCTTAACATGAAAACTTGAAAAATTTATTGAAATCCATAGGGGTGGACATAGTCTACACCAGATACAGGAAACCATATGTCATACAGTATATCTTAAAGTGATTTGTGAGGAACACATGCTTTATTCACAGTGGTACATTTTGTGTTTCCAGGTTCATAGCCAGGTTCTCCCCCCCCCCTAACCAAAAACTTTCCAAATCAGGGCAGTTTTTAAGCACTTTTTAAGTGAGTTTGGTCATTTTTGGCCAAAATTGTCAAAAGTGAACCCCCTGGAAATTTTTGAAAAGTGAACCCCCCCCCCCCTTGGCAAAACCTGACTACGGGCCTGCCCTCCCATGCTTCTTGAACACCACACTCTTATAAATTTAGAGTCTGACAATGTGATATTTTCTTTACAGTGACAAGAAATCAGGAGTATTGGCCCTGTTATGTGAACTTATGGATATGAATATATATGAGCTTATACGAGGTAAGTACCTGAAATTGGTATGCGATTCATGCTTTCTTCACTCTTTTTTCACGAAATGGGTCATTGACTTCAGGCTTGATTACTTCCTAACTTCATCTGAATCTCATTTTTTTCTCATGCCATTGTGACATTTTTTGTTAGATATATGGGTCTGAAATAACTCCCATTGTGACTATCCATATACTATGAGAAACCTTGAAAAACATTGATAAGAAAAAATAATTGTTATCCAATTCATAAATCAACTGCCTTTAAGAGAGAGTTCTATGGATAAACGACACTTTGACACATTAATATTCAATAAGTAACTGATACTTTAAGGAAGCATGGTTAGTATGTCTTGAAAGAGGGGAGAATTCTATAAATAGAATAAGATTGAGACAGTCTTTGTTACAGGCTACCACAGATAATTATCATGTGTATATTAGAATTGATTGTTGAGCAAGCTTATTGTCAATTCCGAGTAAACAAGATGAAATACTGATACATCACTTTTCTCTCTAAAACTTGAAAGATATGCCTGATTTTGTGTCATTTCTGTACTAAAGATCGACTTGGTATCTGTGAAGTTCTCATTCAACTCTTGCCACTCTATCAACAATTTTAATAACATCATCAGACATTTTAATAGAATTTAATATCAAAGGAAACACTTTATATACAAAATGCAGCTTTGCAATAGAGCAGTTATAGCCACATTGAAAAGATAATCACTGTGTAATTTTTTAATGGTTTGTTTTTATACAATTCCAAATGGATTTTGACATAATGAGCCAATGCTCAACAAACAAAATTTCTACATGACACAAGTCACATCAACATTCATGTATTTTAAATTTTTAAATGTAAAACTAAATACAATAGCTTAAAATAATATTTGTTAAAAGACTCGCTATTTTATGATTTTCTATATCAGTTTTGCTGAATGTTTTGCTGTCTCAACTTTCTAATTTATTCTATACCAATTGTCAACTTTTATGTTCAGATAAACAAAATAACAGGCGACACATATATGATTACACCCCCCCCCCCTCAAAAAAAACTATAGAAATTATTTATATTCTAAATTCATAAACTCAACCGTATCTGAATTACAAATATTCATTGTTGTCTCAGTGCATGGTAGTAATAAGTAGAAGACAGAAATTGCCATTAATCTTTTGTACTTCTCTCTGTATCTCTAAAGTGATAGCTCTAATGTACGACATAGGAAAAAAACGTACATATTGTATTTAATTAGATTTAACATAATTAGACTTAATTTAATCAGTGCAAAGATTTCCACTATGGTCATAAGAAAGAGAGGGGGAGAGAAATAATGTTTTCATGAAAGGTAAATAGTATGATGTTCTTTTTTCCTAAGATGAAACTTATCCCGTAAAACTGAGACTTATCAATAATGAAGGAGGTAAAGGTATTGTCTGAAATGACAGATTTATGGTTATGTGCAATTATTTCTGTCCGAGCCTCTATTGAAATGGAATATTCTTGTTACTCATTTAGAGAAGCGATGATCTATGGATTAAATGAGAAACACTTCTGCAGAATTGTTAGGATGTGCTTTGTCTATATATAGGGTAGTAGCCTGTATACAAAATAATTGAGTGGTCTTGTATCTAATCATAATATACTACAGTCAGTAAAAAGTGAAATCAGAAAAACCTGTCTTGGTGAACACCTCTCTCTCGTGAACACCAGTCTCTAGTGACCCCCCATCTTCCGCATATACTCTACTGACTTTTGTATAAATTACACTCTGTAGTGAACATCCAACATCGAACATTTTTTCTATGTAAAAAATGTTCAATATATACAGGTTTTACTACACTTTTATGACAGAAATGTATACCTTAATTCTCATCCAGAATTTTATAATCATACGATTTATCCCAAAACTTAAGCCATATTAACCTCTTCTTTCATGTTCAGAGCTTTTTTATAAAACATAATGAAGTTGGCAACTACTAACAGCTATTTGTATATTATTATTCAAGAAGAAAATCTGGCTTTTTATGTCACCCTCCCCCCCCTAATATACATAGTCTCGCAACCAGTCCCTCATATTTGTTCATTCATCACCAGTGGAGATCAGAGAATAGAATACCATAAGAAATGTATTCTGTATTCTGTTGTTTTATAATGGAAAATAGAGTTGAAAAGAGTGGAATCAGCAAGGAATAGAATAAACAGGCATGTAGTCAACACTTCGAATTGTATAGAAATGCAAGAAAATCAGAAACCTCCTTCAAATTTTCGAGAGAAAAAGATGCATGACAAGGGAAAATTCTAGATACGTGCATGCTTTTAATGAATGTGACAGACATTCCAAAACTGTTGTTATTTAAAAAATTAAACCTCAAACAATTTTACCAAACAATAAAATTGTGAACAAATACTAAAATTGCTGAACCTTTTGTATTGGGAAAGATAAAAAGATCCTTTAGAAAATGAAATGTGTATAATATTACTTCTTTCAATTCAAACCATTTAAAGTTCATAGAAGGGAACTTCAATATTATGGATAAAGTTGAAGTTAGTACCTTTAGTTTAAGAAAAAAGGTCTTAATTTTGAACAGTAGATGAACTCTATTGTCAATTATGAAATTAATATTAATTTAGTAAGTTAATATATGGGCATTAGATTGCATGGGTATATGCCCATATTGGGCATTAGGTTTTAAGTCACTATATTTAGGCATTTTCTTATAGAGTTTTGGCCATTAAATGTAAGGAAACTCTAATGAGGCCCTATGTACATAAGTCAATCCGTTAAGTCCACTCATTTCAACGGGGATAAAAGTTGTTATTTCTGGGTCAATATTTGTTACAAGTTTACCACCCAAAGGGGTTAATGTTATTTATAAGGGAGCTAAGGGTATACTATCAATATGTGTACAAACTCCAAGTTGTTTCCTTTTCTTAAATTGATTGCTATTATTGTAAGTGAAGGTCCTGCTTGTGTTGGTTACAATAAAGACCGCTCTTCCAAATAATAGCCAAATCGAGTCATGCCATTATTTGCTAAATATGGTTCTAAAGTGCTCATTTTCAAGGTCAGACTATCTAAATGTCGTATAACATTTAGAACAAAATTCACACTATTAAGATTGAATATTTTGAGGGGGATTAAAATTGATTGATTATAATTCTTGTTGAATATTTTGAATGGGTGTTTCAATGTTAAGTCTTTGTTAAGTTAAGGTTAGTATTCTGTAATGGTTTATAAGATTATAGGGGCTACCCCTTGGGCATTTGTATATCCATCATGCTGTATTGTGTATGAGCTTTATTGAGCTTTATTGGGTCAGTGGCGTAAATCATGGAATTGTATACATGGTAGAATATGCCAAATTGATCTTTGGATTTGAATGTACACAAATTGGATTTGTAGAGTTTATATTGAGATAAGAAATTCAAAGCTTTAAATAAAATGTACTGTATGATATTATTGTTGAATAACAGTGTAGACATTTCTAGATGAATTGAGGCCATGAACTATTATTTTATTTTTGGCTTGCATCCTTTTTTAACAGTTTGTGGTTTTAATGGTTAGATGGGATGGAATTTAAGATTTGTACCTTTACTTATTTGAAATATTCCATGGAATATTTTTTAAATATTTTGTTATGATTCATATTTCCCTTTTAAGAGATTGATTCAGTGTCAAACATGTGAGTTTTTCACCAATATACTTGTTTGAATATTTCCAGTGGTTATCATTAACTTAATTAAATTAACTTTATGACAAAAAGAACCAGGATTTGCTTATTGAAAATGTAAATTCTTCAACGATTTTAGTACATTTTATCAGCTCTTAGATCCAATTGTGTCTCACAGTTCAAACACATATTTACATAAAAAATAACTCAACAAATAATTCTATTGACACCCAGTGTTGTACAAGAACCTTTTTATTGAGTTGGTTTTCATGTCAAACCTTCATTCATGTAATATTTATTTTGAAAATCTGAGATGTTTGAAAATCATTGTTGTATTTTGAGAACGCTACTTCATCGAATTTTTTACAAGAGATTTGTGTTTTCTGGCATAGCAACAATATTTACCAAATTCAAGGTCATTTATCAGAATGATAAAAATAGCATGCCTACACATTTAAATAAGTATGTTCCAAAATCATTATATATTGTTTATTGTTAATCATAATATTGTTTCTTTGTTAATCCAAAGATTTTGTAAAAATTGAAATTTTCATTCAAATAAATGTACATGTACATAAAGTCTCACTTATGTTTGATGAATGGTTATTCTTATTGTAATATGTTGATTGTAATTTTTTTATTTAATTGATTAGAAAATTAATCTTTTTGTTTATAGGGAGGAGGCATTATCTCTCAGAGACCAAAGTGAAGAGTTATATGTATCAACTCTGCAAATCTATAGACCATATGCATAGGTAAGAGAAGGAATTAATTTTTAGATAATAATGAATTGTACACATCGGATATTTAGATGTTTCATCGAAAACATAGGCAAAATGTGATTTTTTACTTTTATTTGTAACAAAATTACCTGATTTGAGAATTTTTTGTTCACATGTTGTCAAAATATATATGCATCTTCTGTAGTCTAAATACCAATCTAAAAACAAAAATCTTATATGCTAAAAAAACATTAGATCTAAACTTTTTATTGTATGAGCTAAAATTAGCTAAAATTTATTTTTATTTTATAGATTATCAGATATTATAATTACTCTCTTCCAGGAATGGAATCTTCCATAGGGACGTTAAACCAGAAAATATTTTAATAAAAGATGAATTGCTCAAATTAGCAGACTTTGGTTCATGTCGGAGCGTGTACTCCAAGCAGCCATATACAGAATATATCTCAACACGTTGGTATAGGGCACCCGAGTGCCTTCTCACTGACGGATATTACACACATAAGATGGACATGTGGAGTGTCGGCTGTGTCTTTTTTGAAATTTTAAGGTGAGTGCCCATAATTGAATATTAGCCTACCCTGAGACAAGCATTAAAAGGACAATGTGCAATTATTGTCAAATATCCCTATGGTCAAAATGAATCATTCGTAGGTGTAACATGAAGAATAAAATGTCATATAATACTTTGGAAAGTATTAAAGTGCTCGGACACACATAAGCTGAGATAGGGATCATTTCGTTCAGTAAGGTTATATTGACTTACATGGGGCTGTGCACCATTGATTTAACATGAGGATATCAGCAGATCCCAATAGAGGCCATTGGTTTCCATTAATTATCACAGAAATACCAAAAATACACTATGACCTGAATCGATTGCAAACTTAATAATTTCACAATACGACACAAATGGTTTATCTCATCAAATGTGCAAATATGAAGTTTGCAATCGATTCAGGTCATACTTAAAATTAAAAGATTGTACATTTTTTCATCATTTTTTCCCTACAAAATGGCTATAGAAAAATGCTTCAAAAACAACTTTTACACTTATCAAATATCATACAAGTTTGTAAAACCAAAGATTATACTATTATATTTCATTATGTAGTAACATATTTGGATAAGATGCAGGGATGCGTAGGATGTAAATGGATTTTGACAGACACAAAAATACTTCCTGGTTTGGAATCTATGCCTCTACACTTCATGATTGAATTATGACCCTAATAAGTGGCCTATACATCAATACAGTGCTGAATATAGGTCAACAAGATACTAGTGTGCATATAAATGTAATAATTGAAGCAGAATACTCATTTTGAAAAATCAGATGAATTATTTTTTTCCCATGGGGAGATCCCAATGGAGGGTGTATAAGGTCCTTTGACACTCTGAATATCTTGAGTGAACGAAGCTCTCTTTTAGAGATGACAAATTCAACTATTTTCAAAGGGTAATCTTGTATGTATCCATATACATTATTACTCCTCAGATGTTTTATATTATTACCATTCAGATGTTTTATGTGTTTTCTATGCCATGGTTCTGTCATCTGGTGACCCCCTCTTGTCCAAGAAATATCTTTTCATCACATCCCTATCACTCCCCTATTTTCTTGATATCACACCTTGCCCTTGCCTCGGTTTTAGTGTATAATCACTCCCAAAATTGTGCTTAACCTTTACCATGCTGCCTTATTTCAGCAAATATATCCCACGCAACTGGCTTATTTTTCAAAGAGTGCAAAAAATGATATACCTGGACTAAATAATTAATATCTCAATAACTACTGAATGAATCTGGATAAAATTTTCACAAAGGGAAGATACAGTGGCCTGGCTCATGAAAAAAAAATGTTCTCATGAATTTTTTCGTACATTAACACGACTGGGCATAAATATACCATGAATACTCCTCCGGAATCCGCCGCTCCGCCTCTTCGTCTGGTCAGAATCCAAATCTGAATTTGCAGCGATCGAATGTTCAATTTTTCAATTCAGAAAATATTCTAGTTTCTATTTTCGATGACCGTTATCGGCTTCCAAGAGCCTAAAGAGCTCGAAATCGTAAACTATTTCCTCCACATTTTCGTTGTGATCGTATTTGTCCACCATTTTGTACGATTCGTTCACTAAAAACGACTAAAACACTGTTTAAATTGTTGAATTGAGAATTATTTTTCGAAATATCGCCATTTCTAGGTCAACAGGAAGTCATGTTAGGCACTGAATAAATCGGGCAATCTAATTGGACAATACGAATGGCCCGAAAAAGTAAAGTTTTTAAAAGTTTGAAATCGGGCGTACGGGTCCGCCGGCAGTTGTGAGAGACATTTTAGTTTCGGCGGACGAGTCCGCCGGCAGCACGCTAAAGGTTAAGGCTTTGGTCATTTCAACTTGAATTAAAGGCATGTTGAGTGTAGGCTGTACCTTCTTTTTCAATTAAAAGCTTAGAGCTGTCTTTTGTACAGTCTTAAAAGGGATGGAGTCCAAAAATGTGGGAAAGTCATTTGCAAATATGATTTCATCAGGGAAAATGTTGATTTTTTTTAATACGTAAAAACCAAATGAACACCTTCAATTTAAAAAACAGATGAGGGGTAAACAAAAAGTTACAAAATAACTTTGTGTTTGTTATATCATCACAAAGTAAAAAATGTGTGAACACTTTTCTGAAATAAACATTAACTGTATGGTAAATTAAGTCTGTTTTATAATATATCTGATTCTTTATAAATCGCTATTACAGCCAACCTTAGACACATACATATTGTTAAGTGATGAAATATTACACCATGCTACAAAACACAACACAATTTATCATTTCATTTCAACATCTGTCATATAATATTTTCACAGCTTTTAAGTTCATTTTTGATTGAGTCTGATAGCTCAATAGTGTCAACGTTTTGATTTATGGTCTACAAATAATTGATCAAAAGACCGATGAGTGAGTTAGCTCAAATAACATTTTTTCTGAAGAGCTTAGCTCTGGGGGTGGTTACTTATTCGTGTAGGGGTAAAAGATTATGTTTCGTTTAAAGAATTTTGATCCCCATATACTGGCTTCATTGGTCCATGCATTTGAGCAACCTTAATGATCAGGATTTCAAATTTTGATCTTTGGAATCGGGGGCACTATCTTATTATGATGAGAGGAAATAAATGTGTGCATCAATGTTGTGTTTCTTCTTCCTCCTAACTATCTACAGGTATATACCTATATACCTAGAAGGAATGTGAATTGCTGTTTAACTCATGTATATTGTAATTATTAAGAAACAAAGGGAAAAGTATGACATTCACATTTCATGAGTCTAAAAGGTATTATCATAAACATTTTTTCAAAAACTAAAAGACCCCTCAAAATGGATATCAATAATTTTGAAGGCTTTGATAGAGCTAGAAAATGTTTGAGTATTCTTTTAAAGATGGCATCACAGAAGTTAATGTTGGAATAAAAAACTTGATATATCACGCTTCTTCATTGGGCTTTCCTGCAACAAATGTAATGAAATACAAGGGACAATCGATAAATTTCGCAACCATTAACAATTGCAATAAATTGCAATCTGATAAAATATTTGAAGTCATGTCATCAAACCTTTAACAATTATTTCCAAAACTAAAGGCCCCTCCAAAATTGTTAGAAACAGAGGGTCACTTGTATAATTTATTGATCACCCCTCGTACCTTTAGACTATACGGATACTGACACATGTATTTCTGTTGTTTCAGTTTACACCCACTGTTCCCTGGTTCCAATGAAGTGGACCAGATTGCCAAGATCCATGACGTACTAGGAACCCCTGATCCTAGTGTGCTCAATAAACTTAGGAAGTAAGTTGACTGTTTAGGGCATGGAACACTATGTTTTTATGTAGGCTTCAGTGCTTAAACATTTATGGATATCGAAGATGCATCTCTGAACATGTCTGAAAATCGGACAAAGTGTTTACAGAGCTCTAGAGAATTTGAGGTGTTAAGTCATGCAATTAATTTTGTGTACTTTAGAATTAATTGAACATTTGAAGTGTTGGTTATGACAGAAATTCATTGTTTATTCACATGCGATAACACTACATTGCCGTTTTTTGGGTGGACTTCTGTAAACAATAAAAGCAAAAAATGTAATTGATGACATGAAAAATTTTCCAAAATTGAAACTATCATACTTTGGTCAAATTGGTAATTTTCTCCTTTTTAGTAAAACTCGAGGAATGAATTTCAACTTCCCATCAAAGAAAGGAGTCGGCATCGAGAAGTACCTCCCTCATGCGTCCCAGAGTGCAATAGAGTTAATTTACGATATGTGTGCGTACGACCCTGATGAACGGATGTCAGCAAAACAGGCTCTTAAACATTCATACTTTAAAGAATTAAGGTAAGAAAAATACCCTTACACATGAGCTACATTATATTGGACAATGTGAAATATCAATGTGTAATTTTCTCCCAAAAAACTTGATTTCCAAAAATTTAGCATTGTAGGAACAATAATGTTACTCCAGTTGTAACATATTATGAACAGAGGAGTGGGAGGGGTTGAGTCTTTTAGCAATGAGTAAAATCTATATAGATAGATTCAATTTAGAAATCCCTCATTTTAGGAGACTATCATCTGATCACACTCTGAACTTTCATTCATGATTTTAGTAAGTTATGAGTAAAATAGAGGTCACTGTCTGTTTATACACTACCTTAGCTGGGCCATGAGTTTTCTTGTGTACATGCTATAATTTGTTTTCATATTGTGTGATAAGACAGTAAACAAGGAACACATTTTAAAAGATCCAGACACATAAAAAGCCCATTTCACATGCATTATTGCATGTAGTACCGCTATGTGTTATTGGTTATTATGTGTTTTTTATTGACAATTTGTGGGAAAGTGACAATTTTTTCTTGAAATCGGGTTAAAATTGATTTCAAATTCCTATTAGCTTCTTAGCAACAGTAAATTGAATACTGTCCTGGGGTCAACTTATTTTTAGACAACCCACATATAAAACTTCATGGTATAGGTTTTAAATATAAGTGAAGGGAGAGAAATATGGAAAAAAGGCATGAAAACTATATATGAACAGACTAAAGAAATATAATTTGTAGATGTATAAAATTAAATCAGTGAGAAAATTCACGTGTTTTAAAGAGAAAGTGTAACCAAATTTGCATTTTATGTCTGGGTAACATTCATTTCATGATTGCACGTATATATATATAGTCTATACTCTATAGCAACCTACCTACCCAAAATATTACATGGTGTGTTCAATGGAGATTGGAGCACTTTTTAACTAAAAATGATCATCTGGCAAATAATGCTATTAACCAGTTCAAATATGAGGTGAAAATGTGAGTTGTGTTTTTAGTGTACAGTCAGATTTTAATGAGTGTTACTTCATTAAAGTTGTATGTATGTTTGTGACTTGTGATTGGTTTTATTTGTTGGACAGGGGAATGATGCCAGACTGTTTGTATAATTAAAATTCTGTAGGCTGATATGAATGACTTGGCTATAGTGGCTTTCCGTTGGTCTAAAGTCGGGAAAATAAATATTCCAAAACAAATACCAAATATTAAGTTGAACCTCAACCTCAGTTTTGTTGATTTTTAAGAAATTTAGTTGTTGCCTAGTAGTTTGTTTGCCAAACAATGTTTTCATTGCTTGATTGACAAGTTTTATGTCTGCCTAACAAACTAGATGCAAGTACAAATACATTTATTTACAAAGTTGTTTGAAATCTACAAAAAATATTTCTACACTTGGGGATTTAAAATTTATTTTTCAACCTTGAAATCTTCCGAAATGTAATTTCTACATTGAGTAGAACAAACCTAACCAGTTTGTTTTTTCATAAATCTGTGCTTTTTCAAACAACTGCCAGACATGTTTATTGATAATTCACTTGTATCTTACCTGACTAAGGAGATAGAACAATGTTGTTTACTGATTGAATAACCATATCAGATACATGTAGGCATTGTTGAATAACTAAGATCATTGTTAAATAAATAAGAGGACACTTATACCTAAATATTGACATCTATACGACATGTTAATATTACAACTGAAATGACCATTGAAAAGTCAATAAAATATAGAGAAAGAATGCTACCTCGTTTGACTTATTAGGACTTCATATTATAAATAATTTGTTATAGAACAAATCTAAAAAATCTTCAATAGGTAAAATATTATAGAAATAAGAAGAAAATAATTTAATAACCTGATATCAAGATGAATTGCTTCTGTGTTTGATATAAATAGTATAAATTATGTTTAAATATTTGATATGTAGATTAGACATGTTCCAGACAATATTCAACACCTTTGACCTTTTAGCACTAATGTCTATTGTATTCCTCTCTGCTTAAACTTATTTCAGTTTATTTCTCTCTAAAATTGGAAGTATTCAATTTTCTAATATTTCTATATTATAATTTTTGTTTGTACATGTACATGTACTTGGGTATGAATGTACTTAAAGAATAAATATTATTTAGCGTGTTTGCTACATTTTTTCCTTGCTAATTCCTCTTTTTTATCATGGTACCCTAATCCTAAGGAGTCACATTTATTGAAGTTTTGATACAAAATATTATATCACTGTATACTGATTCAGTTCAATAGAAGTGTGTGTTTATTATTTCAGTAGTGATATTGAAATATTGACACAACCATTTGGCTTCATTTTCAAGAAATTTTCAAAAATGGATTATTAAATTCATTGATAATGTTTTCAAAGTAGATGTTATAATTAATTAAATATCTGATGTCTCTGATGTTGGCAGCTTTTCGCACCTTAGTTGACAAAACAATAGAACTTATCTTATCTTATAAAATAACAATCATCCACAGGCAATCCACTTTGTAATTACACAGCAATCAGTTATCCAGTAGGTAAGTGTCATTGTGATACCCTTTTCTTGAACTTTCCAAAGTCGCATACTTAACAGCGGATATGTGTCTGGTAAATCAGGATTGGATCACGTTATTTAGTTTCGTTTTGATGGAAACTGCTTTGTTCGAATCCTGATATTTCTTTGGGTTCATTCAAATATCAAAATTGGAGGTAACTTATATCATGTTTTTGCTGGAAATGAGAATCTTGAAACTTGATATGTTTCAGTATGGATATTATAAGGATTTATTAAGAACAAAAAATAAAAATATCCGTGTCATTGAAAAAACTATTGTACGTTAAAGTTAGGAAGTATTGAATTGTTATCTAATATTATATTTTCATAATACTTATGAATTAATTCAACAATGATAAGTTGACTTTTAGAAGTGCGGCACAATCAATCAATTAGATAACGTCAACTCTTGAAGTTATTTTACACGGAGCTACTGATGAAGGAATTCCAGCCAAGGCTCACTCTCATGATAACCTGAGTCTCAAGTTTATCTAGCGTTTTATGACCCAGGTGCATGCCGATATAACATTAGGTTTTATGGGAAAGTATGAAGCGTTTTAACATTGAGTCCTGATCTTATTGAGATCCTCTTGGAATTAATGCAGGGTTTTAATGCAGGATATAATGCAGGAAAAATCTGACAGACACAGTTGCATCAGGTGCAGTAAAAAATTTATTGATTTATTAATTTAACGTAAGACCATATATAGTATTGTGAAAGTAAATGAAGAGACGGCTTAATTGTGGGGTTGATGCATGAGAAATAATTTTTTACATGTAAGTTGACCCAGAAAATCCTAAAAATATTTCCAAAGAAGTATCAGATTTATAAATATGAAATTTTAGTTGTTGACTGTAATTTGAGGTCTAGATTTCAAGGATACGATTTTCATTCTCAGAAAAACTTATTATATAAACTTGATATTACGGATATTTATCTGCGAGGAAGTTGACCTACCCAGATTTATTTTCCTTGAAATGTCTATTTAGTGATAGGTAGCAGATACATCAGTATATGTTGTACTCTTGACTTACCATATAAGGAAAGATGAAAAATTAAATTCTGCGAATTTCAATTAAGAAGAACAAATACAATTACGAACAAAACTAAGATAATGCATAGATATTATCGTAATAGTATATATTACAGTTAATCTTGATGGTTACGAAAATATCTAATGCTAAATTATATCAGAATTTGGAGAAGATTGTAGATTTCATTATCGGGTTGTTCTTTAGTGGATGTAGGCACTCATATTGTGTTATTTTGTTTTAAAGTTATTAATGCAGTGAATGGACGGAATTATGTTTCAACAAGAGAAGTAATTATTTTATTTGTTTGTTCGTTTGTTTTAATCAAGTAACTTGAAAATTTAAAGCCAGTTTTACACAATACAATACAATATTATACAATACAATACAATATAAAATTTGAAGTTAATTTTATGTGGTTACAATATCATACAATACAACACAACACAATACAATATAATACAATACAATACAATATTATGCAATACAATACAATATAAAGAAATTGAAGTCAGTTTTATATGGTTACAATATCATACAATACAACACAAACAATAGAATACAATACAATACAATATGATACAATATAATACAATACAATATTAGACAATACAATACAATATAGAAATTTGAAGTCAGTTTTATATGGTTACAATACATACGATATTATACAATACAATACAATACAATATAGAAATTTTAAGTCAGTTTTATATGGTTACAATATCATACAATACAACACAACACAATAAAATACAATACAATACAATATGATACAATATAATACAATACAATATTATACAATATAGAAATTTGAAGTCAATTTTATATGGTTACAATACAATACAATACAATTAAATACAAGTAATAGCTTTTAAAACAAGGACTGCAAAACGTGACCAAGAAGTTAGATGCACCATGAGAACGAGTAAGTGGAATGACAGTGCGTTGGTCCACCTTATTATAAAAGGTTGTAATTAAGCAATGTAAACCTAGTAGTACTTGAAACTTGAGAGAGTTGTTATAGGCAAGTGCGTCAAGTTCAAACTGGTGTGGGCAAATTCAAATAGGTGCGAGCAAATAATGACTGAGTGAAATGGTGAGGGAAAATGACACTGAAACATTATGCATGTCACTTATTCATTAATTGGTTTATCTTGGTGGATCGAGTTGGATAGTTTGTATTTGGATTCTTAGGTTCAATTTAGCCAATTTTAGGTGAGTTCCCAGGTGAGTTACTTTGAGATACATTTGTATTGACAAGTTAATATTAAGTGAGTTCAGTGATTATTTATCATCTGTATGTAGACTGGAGATTAAGTTTGCCAATACAAAGGCAGGCCTCAGGCCAGGGGGAGAGCTGGCCAGAAATCCTTTCAAAATCACACAGTTTTTAACAATTCTGAGCACTTTTTTCATGATTTTTTCACCAAAACTGTCAAAAATCTTCCCTCCCCTTGGCAAAAGCTGGCTACAGGCAAGAAAGAGTAATTTAGTGCATCAAAAAGTATTCAGTTTGTGGAAATTACATACCCTTGCCATGGTAAGTGAATATAATGACATAAAATGTTAATTTCCTGGGGTTGTTGTATGTATTAAACTTAATATCCAAACAAGGAGATATAACCAATTAATTAAGAATAAAAGGAACTGAATAATATGGCCATTAGTTGATCTTTTAACATTTGACAGGATGAAATTACATTACCCAGATAAAATATAATTATCATGATTAAGACAGACTAGAAATCATATCATATGGCATTTAGGATGACTAATCAATCATGGTAATATGAGAATGTGTTGTGTAATTATCATTACCCTCTGCAAAGTAATCAACTTTATTTCACTCTTTAGATTTCTGAGAAACCCCAAATCTTGATGATTGAAAAAACCTCATCTCACTCATACATCCCTCGATATCACTGGTGATTTTTACTGAAGTCGGCCATCTCTTTTGATTTAATGAAGTTAATCTACAGAGCTCTCTGATTGGTTAGAAACTACATGTAAACTGCAAAATGATTGATCATAGTCAGTGTTTTGTACACTTAGACTATTTGCTCAGGGTAATAATTCTTGATATTGCTTGAAAAACTATTTGTCTTGAAAGATGTACAGAAATGATTTCAGCATGATTTGGTTGGTTGGTATGGTAACAGCCAGCTAATTGTCTTATAAAATATAGCAGGGGTCTGCAAAACAACACAATTCTGAAGTTTGTCAAATAAATTGAAATTATGAAATTGATGAAGATAATCAATTTCAATGAATCTAGAAACAGCCAAGTTGCAAATGGACCAGGTTTTCTCTGTCTTTGTCCATTGGGCTTTTCTGGTAATAATACGTTGCAAACTGCTCGATGAATCTATACTCGTACCATAGTAGAACACTTGGAATATATTTATATACCTTCAGAACTAGGGAAACAAACAAACAAATGTCCTCCATTTGCAACTTCGCTGTAGTCTGTATTTCTTTAAAAGGAATACAGGATACAGTATGGGGGTATAGTAGTGTGAAAATATGAGCTAAATTACATCTGGGAATTTATGGTGCATTGAATCTGTTTTTCAAGTTTTGCTTTACATGCATTGCATATGCATTTCAGTATATATATTGTGTTTCATGAATTCATTTCAAAGGCATGAAGAAAACAATGAGTGTTTATTAATTTTGTTATATGCCATCGATAGCCAATAATATTTTGAACTGACCCCTTTATTTAATATATAACCAAATCAAAAGCTAGATATTCCATTCTCATATTGAAGATTTGAAAGTGCGCATATGTCTGACATGAGCATTTCTTCAATTTCTTGACAAACATAGATATGCTTATTGGTATATTCATTTTTAAAAGTGATTGCTTCAATACAAATAGATTTATAAGTTCAGAAAAAGATCATTAAACTTGGTGTAAAAAAGATTGAATTTTGGGATATTTGTGAAGAGCCACTTACTGAAACTATCACATGGATACAAAAACTATCACGTGGATGTTAAGTGCAGGTTGAACTAACAACCGGATGACAAAAGAACAACTCTTTGAACCTTAAAAATATATTTATTTTAAAGTTAAGTTTATATGCTGAGGTATTGAAGACAGGGAATTAAGAAGCTTTGAAGAACTCTGAAAGTTTTCATCCCAGACTTCTTTTCAGTTTAAGTCAAACTTCTAGATTTTCTTAAGAGCTGGCAGGTAAGAACCTGATATTCATTCTAAAAGACACTCAAAATCTTCTTGGAGAGCACCCATTTTATTGGTGTCAAACAACAAACATCAAGAAAAATGAACTGAACTTGTAATACATTGAGTGAGATATTCGTGAGAAAATTATCAACTTGAGGATGAATAATCACTCATCATGAATAAATATTCTGCAGAAACCTGCCACTAGAATAGTATTGCACTAAGGTGATTTAATTTATTTAAATTACTGTATTATAGTAGCTTAACTAGTCAGAACTTTTAAGAAAAAAAATGTGGTTTGGAGGATCATTTAGTGCTGGAACCAAACTTGAATAACTGTTGATAGGTTGACGGAATCAAAAACAGAGAAATAAATGTTAATATATTAAAGAATTTATAAATATAGAATAATAAGGATATACAGAAAAAAAACCAACTTGATGCATGGTTTATAGCTAAGGATGCCAAAAGACAAAACTACATGGGAATTAAATGCAATCAATTAAACACATCAAAATAAGTGATGTTCATTGAAGTTCTGAATATCAATACAGCAAACTGCTAAATAACAAATAAGGAAGAGCAAAAGCAGCAATTTTCAAAATTTCAAAATCTTTAAAATCATTTAAAAACAGTACAGTTATATGCTTACTAGGTGTTTGTAGTTAATATATCCACTCACTGTATAGTTAATAGTTTAATGGCAGTTCACCTAGATACAGAGACAGAACTTGAAAGAAGTTGTATGTTTCCAAGAATAAATTCATGCTACAATAACAGGTAGGATTAAAATTGTATCATGTATAACTTATTGTTTGATTCAAGATTATTGTATGATTATTGTATGATGTATGGCTGTTGTATGATGTAGGATTTATTGTATGATATATGACCAATTTCTATTTCATTATCATTTTATTAACCTTTATTTAAAACTCACTGTGTTTTTTATTCAAGTTGTCTGGATCTCATGTGCCAGACCACATATATTATTGAAACTCGGGACCAAACACAAAACCATAATGTTAATGTGCATTAAAATCATGTTTTGATCTAAATATAGGGTAATATCAATCTATATGACTGACTTAAAGCTTGTACAAAATGCATCGTGTCAAAATGCATCGTGAAGTAGGATTTTGTGCCCATTAAACACCTCAAAAATCCTTTGTTATATGAAGCTTTTTGTCAAAATGCTTCATGAAGAAGCAATTAAAGCTGCTGTGTAACTCGAATCATTTTAATGTAGTCTAGGCATTTTCTTAAATTGGGTCAAGGTTTATGTTCACTTAGAACTTTTATACAAATTGTGTCCTGCATGAGACAAAAGTTTCAAAATCCTGCCTACCTCAATAGAAACATCAATTGCTATAACAACTCCAAAATTCTAGATGTTATTAAGAAATAAAACTTCACTTTAATCATGTATAAACCAATTGAAAACTGGAACTTATTCAAGTTGTCATGGCGCCAACAGAATGCCAAGTAAAGTAATGATTGTCAAGTTTCTTGGATACCAAATTATTTTAAGAAAATTGATTTGAAGTGAAATGTTATATGTCACGCTGAGAGTGTCTCTTGATACTTTGATCAAAGGAGCCTTTCAATTACAATTTTAATTGCAACAGGTTAGTCCTAAATAAAGATAAGGAAACACAATAGGCAAAGAGTAATTCAATACAATAATGTTTTGTTAGGTATTTATATGGGATCCTATGATCCAAATTGGACAGTAAAACCTGTTTTTAAAGAACAGTTTTCAATTCACAGAAATCGAAGTCTGATTTTTGATTTTGATTTAAACTTGTCTGAATGAACACCTTAAAGGAACACCTCTCTATGTGGAACAGTTTTCAATAGTATAGTTTCCATATAGCTTTTGAAATCTCGCTAAATCTCGTTTTTCGTGAGATTTTAAGAGACTTGCATATTAGACCTCTAATGACTTACATTACCTTCTTTTAAATGGCATATTTGAATTCAGTGGAATTTTTTCTCCTTTAATATCTTTGATTTACACAGTTATGTAATTTGAATAACTTTCTATAACAATTTAAAAAAACTTCTTTAAATCCGTGGATTATTTGTATGTCAATCAACATTTGCATGTTTAATCACATCATGTTCATAAACAGGGTCATCATGTGGTATATCATTCAAGTTTTATACAGATTCAACAAACACACTTTGATAAATCATGAAATTAAGCCACTTTTCCAAGATTTTAGCATGTAAATGAATGGATCTCTAGCCCAAGTTAAAAGCTGAATAAAAGATGGCAGCACGAGATTTCATTGATTTTTCTGCTATTTAGAAACTATCCTATTCATACAAGAATGATCCAAGAATATACAATGATATCTGTCTGGTTGAACACATCTCTTTTTAAATCTTTTTTTTTTTGAATGTACAATTAAACCAATCATGTATGATGTACTTAAAATGATTAATGGCAATAAAATCTCTTGATAAAAAGAACTAATCTGATAAAACACCTCTCAGTAAAGAACACCTCTCTATATGGAACAGTTTTCAAAAACCTCTCATTGGCTTAATCTTAATGATCCTCTATTAGGAGAACATCTGTATATGAGGAACAATAAAGGAAACTACTGAAATCGTTCCATTAAGGTTTCAATGTAATGGTATGCATGTAGCCAACCTCAAAGAGGCATCAACCCCTGTTTTCTATGCCAAATTGTTTTGAGGACTTATTTGAGGGCATCAACCCCTGTTTTCTATGCCAAATTGTTTTGAGGACTTATTTGAGGGCATCAACCCCTGTTTTCTATGCCACATTGTTTTGAGGACTTATTTGAGGGCATCAACCCCTGTTTTCTATGCCAAAATGTTTTAAGGACTTATTTGTGGGCATCAACCCCTGTTTTCTATGCCACATTGTTTTGCGGACTTATTTGAGGGGAAGAGATGTTTATGTACCAAGCTGGGTTAATCAGTCCCATTCGTAGTTGGTAGTGGTACATTTCTCACTTGTCCAACACAGAGCAGATCTTAATGTCGTGTAGGTTTGTTTAGTAATCAATTTTAGAATTTCTGATGAAATATATTTAATAAAGACATATCACTAACTTGTAGGGATGCTGATAAACGCCAAGCTCAGCTCGAAAAGCAGAAAAAAGAGAAGGAGAAAGATAAAAATGATAAACTTGCCAAAGAGAAAGAAGATGATGATGACAACAAAGATGAGAAGAAAGATGAGAGGTGAACAATGATGATTGATGCTTTGCTTGAATAACTGCACTGATTTGTGGAATATCATAACATGTTTTTGCATTTTAGATTCATCTAATATGAATGTATGTTTGTTCAATCTAACAGCATGGTGTTATTGGTACTACATTACTCAACTGCACTACACTACAATACTCAATTTTATTTTAGCACAGCAACATTTGAGTGCAGTGACATCGCAAGTGCTTACCCAACTTTTGCTGTGGATATGCAGTATTTTATAATACTATTTATTTACTGGATGTTTGGTTAAGCCTTAACCATAGGGTTGAACAATGAACATTATGTTACGATGGTTGAACACTGTTTCATATGGTTGAATTTTATGTTTATGGTTGAACATTGTGTCACAGTGTGTTGGAGTTTATGTCACATGCATGAATATTGTGTCAAATTGTTGAACTTCGCTCACACCCGGTTGAACAATGCATTTCATGGTTGAACACTGAAACACATGATTGAACATTGAATCACATGATTGAACACTGAATCACATGATTGAACACTGGATCACATGATTGAACACTGAATCACATGATTGAGCACTGAATGAATGGCACATTCAATCAAATGGTTGAACACATATGGTCAATATTTTGCTCATGAAGTTGAAACAGAACTTTATAATCTTACACATTTTGTGATTATCTGAATAATTGTTCACATAGAAAGAAAATTTTATTTTCAATTTTGGTTCATTGAAACTAAATCTCATTAGAATGTAAAAGATACATGAATGAAAATTCGATGTAATCAAGCCTTGAATTTGTGAATTTAAACTTTTGATAGAAAAAAGAAAAAGTCGAAGTTCAAAGCACATTCAGTGTTCGCTGATGAGGTTCACGAAGGAACAAAGTTTTTGTCCATCCATGACTTGGACAAAAAGTCACAATTCTCCATTTCGCTGTTCGCTCTTTGAATCAGAACGTTCGCATATATGGTGCATATATGTACTCAAAAAGGACAAAATTTGATTGGTCAATATTTTTCAACGATGCATTTCGTGTAGCTATTTGTGAGACCCGAAAGTTCTAAATCAAATTAATTACGCAATTTTGTTTTTACACCCGCAAGCTAAATAAAAAATGACACCATCGGAATTCTTCTTCTTTGTCATTGAATTAATAGTCAGTATACCAGATTTAATCAATAAAAGATTATACAATTAACAACAAAATTCGGAAACGAGTATGTAAGATTTGCTTTCGAACCACTAAACTTGACCTAGATAATAGCGACGTGTCTTCTTTGGTCAAATGCTCAGTTGTTTGTGGGTTTTCAACGTAACTCTATAATGTAATATGAAGATGAGTACTTTTATTCAGTTGTTGCATCGATGTTACAGTTTGTAGTGCGGTAATATTGGCATGAACGTGTTGAAAGTCGAATGGAATTGCTTTTTCCAATATGGCGACTAGTCACGCGACTTCTTCTCTTCCGGAATATACTCCCATTTTCAATCATTGTTTTCACCCCGTTAGGAGCCAATAAAATGAAAAAAAATATATGTTATATAAAGATTATTAAAAGACTAATTGTTTCTGATAGTTTGTTTTCTCCGATCGCATGGAGATTCGATCGAAAATATCGCTTGAAAAATGGGTATGAAAATCCCCATGTTAAACCAACGGGGAAAAACAAGGTAGAAAAATTTGTTCCCCCGCGAACTGCATCATGGGAAATATTTTGACCTTATAAGGAAAAACTTTCGCGCCATCTTTATTAGAGATTCAATACTACCGAATCCGCGATTTTAAGAATTGGGAAACTATGTGGATGAGATAGCTTCTATGACAACCATGTAAGTCAGTGATTCAATATATACACCCCTCTCAATAGAATTGGTAATTCAGACTATGATTGCCAAACTTATGGAGGTAGTGTACATGTAAAATGGGTTAAGGTCAATATTTATATTTTAGGTTATTTTCAATTGACAAGTTGCTTTCCTTTAAAAATCAGCTAACAAAAAATTGACTCTTACCCCTCCCAATGAGTAATGGTGCTAAATGCACCGCAAGGTTCAATATTGAGGTATTCACTATTATCACTCAATCATCGCTCAATTATCACTCAATTTGTAGCTCCAAATTAAAAGATTCACAGTTGACTAAATGCCTCACTAATTGAAAGCAATCACTCCCAACCACACAGAAATTTTCTTTGTAAGCATAATGACTCAGTGAACTCCTGGAGCGTAATCACGTTTTAACCCATTCACTGAGGTTAATTTGATAATTTAACATTACTAATAGATGCATGAATGGCGTTACACATTGGAAAATATTTTTTTGGGTAGTGTATATGGAGATGGCTTCTTTTCAAATCCTATAATTAAACACACTTTAGATAACTAAGGACAATATCAACATCAACTATTCCAAGATATAAAAAACCTAAAAAATGAAACTATATCTATCTACACTACTCAAAGGGCTTATATTTATTATTGAATCAAGAATTCAGTTTTTTGGGTAGTGTATATGGAAATAGCTTCTTTTCAAATTAGATAACCCCCTCTTAATTGCTTAAATAAACTATAAAAATATTTATTTTTATGTTCTCCAGAGACGCTGAGCGAAGAGCAGCTGGGATTGCCAAAGTTGTCAAATCTAACGAGGCCATGACGAAAAATACAGACAATCGTACATTAGAGGGACGGGAGAGCAAGATCGGAGATGGAAAGTCAGATAAACCAGGCTCAGCTTCTACAGAAGCATCTAAATCTATCAGTATTATCAATAAAGAAACAGAGAAACAGAAAAAAGAAAAGCGAAGGGTAAGTTAAATTCAATTTTTTTTTTGATAATACAGTAAAACCTGCATATCCAAACACGTCCCTAATCAGAACATCTCTCAATGTGAAGACATTTATGTCCAGATTTCGATCTTCTATTGATTCACATTGTACGCAACCTTGACATGTGAATGACTGCTTATCCAAACTCTTGACTGGCCCCAGTTGTATTCAGGTTTTACTGTATATAAGGAACACATCAACATGCTTGAACAACAAATGAGCGATGAATCTAAAGTAATGGACAAAATCTATAACATACTAAACACAACCAAATAAATATGTAGCTTGACATGAAATATTTCCAAATATCTTACCACAAAAATATTATTTATTTGAATTCAACAGATTGCTGTTATGAGTGACATATCAAGAAAATCAATTTTGTGTAAATTACCTAAATTAAATTTATTCATCACATACTTTGAATGTTTAAAAAATGGCGGGGTGTAACAAAAAGTGTGTTTCGATCTCACAAAACTCACGAAATTATAAAAACACTAATATGAAATTATTCATAAATTTATTCATTTTATTTGATTGATAACTACAATCTATGTGCTGTATCAAATTCGAAGAAATTCGCAATTGTTTGATTATATCTAATATTTACTTGTAAATAAAATTGGTCTTTCTATGAAATTCATTAATGTTAAGAGTACATTTTGTTTTATTAATTTATTGGTAAATAAAATTGTATCTATTTAAAGAATGTCATAATTGATTGATTGACTACAAAATTATTGATTTATTCTTAAATAGTAAATAAAATGATAAGATAAGTGTTACCAAGAAATTGTCATTTTGACTTTAACTATAATTATACGTATGAAATACTAGTGTTGCACGAATAATAAAAAGTTATTCCATTTTGTAAAACATTACACACAGATACAAGACTTGAAAATTACATGTAAAATAAAGTATGATTGATTCCTCCAAAATCTAACCTAGAGTGAGCTCTTTTTAGGAAAAAAACTATAGATTAAATGAAATTGATTTAGGTTTTCCAAAATAGTCAATATTTGAACCCTACCATTAAGATTTAGAGTTTGAAATGTTTGTAGCACTTTCAAGTGGTCTGAATATTTCGCTGGAGAGATTAACACTTCACTTTTGATAATAGTTATTAAAACCTATTAATTATTCACTTGTTGTGCGTCATTCATAAGTTATGGACTCTAGGTGTCAAACAACTATAGTCATATATACTCTTATCTGAGAGCATATTAAGAGAAACTTGTGTTACATTCAGGACATTTTCAAATAGTTTAAAAACCTTGCTTTGCAATAGGAATATATTTCCTAGGCGAGTCGGAGAGAAATATTACAATAAAAATGAAGCTTTCGGTGTCAATCTCAAATAACTCAGTGATAACTACAACATCAGAAAATAATGCTCCGAAACCATCAAAGTCAGAACATTTTAATGCATATGATATGTTTGCCCACCACCTATTAACCGAAGGCCACATAAATACATTACAGAAACGACGAAAACAGCTCCAAGGGGAAAACACAATCAAAGACGGGAGTCTATTACCCAAAGTGCCACAGGGCAATGGGAGCTTTAATAATAGTTTCTCGAGCTCGAATACAACAGGATTTCCACGTATTGCCAACGCAGGTGCAACTTCTACCACAGTGCTTCCTAGTATTACCACATCTTTCAAGCCAAAAGCTGCCACGAAGGTAAGAATTTTATCATATGTCACTGCTATCCCGAGAATTTTCCCCTAGTGGGTGCAAATTTCTCATATTCACAATTTAGACCAAAATTGGTTAAACTACAATGCAAATTTTTTTCATTTTGTAAGGGGATTGAAATTGATTTTTATCCAAGCCTTATGTAAGCCTTATCCAACGTGTATGTAACACCCATGGTCTGGTCCACACAAACTCTCTAAACTGAACTGTTGAGTTTTATATAAGACCATAACTTCTCTTTTTCAAAACCATACCTGACATGACTAAATCTAATTCTTAATTTTGATATTATATATCTCATGGAATCAATCAAGTAATTCCACGTTTTTACACTTTTCATATTCCCTTTTCCGATTCAATCATATAATTACCATTAACCAGAACAAGATTTATAATGCCAGACTTCCTGGTTTGTTTGATGTTAATGAGAAGCAAGCAAAATCGCAAATTACATAATAAAGCACAACTATTTAACATCATTTAATAAAACATTTGATATGTTTCAGACTTCAAATGCAGTTGCCACAAAGAATATGTACGGCCATTATTCACTGCCATCGATTGACCGCAGAGGCGCAGGATACTGATTCAACTGCCATCTATGCAGTGTTTTGTATGAAATACAGTAATACTGGCCCAGATGATTGGCTTCAGAAACTGAGACATAAATGATGTCAGCTCTTCAAAGACTTTAATAAAGCTATGCTGACATCATGCAGTAACAGGATATGACATCCCAAGATTGTCACATGACATCACCAAACTGTGTCTGACTTCACTAAACTATGTCAGCCAAGGGACTTGCATAATGCATTTAGTGTTTGAGCTTTTGCATTAGGTAGGACAGAGAGATCCTGCTTCATATAGTACATAGTAGACCCAGCTAAAGGAGACCCTTGAAATGAGCCGCTCACATTTTGCAATAACTTTTTGTTGAAATTTTTTCGAATTTTTTTGTTCAGAAAATTCAGTCAAACAGTTGTACTTGCATCTACAACTTATTGCATTTTGAGGGTCAGCCTGTACTTCAGAGCAGTCTCATATGACAAAGAGTACTCCAGGTGACAGATGAAGTAGATCATTGGGATATACATATTTTTAATGTAGATAGGATCTAGGACCCAAGTCTGATGGAGATACTGCCATCCAATCAGAGAACAGGGGTACAATCTTTGGGGATTAAAGGTCTCATTTAAATAGAGGACATGATGACACTGACCTGTTTTATGTCTGAACTGGGACTGAGAGTGTGAGAATCTCAATTTGGGTGAGATAAAAAACAATAAAACAATGGCATTTAATGTTTGTAATGATTAGAAGAGGACGAAGGGCTAAAATAACTAATTTTTATGTTTGGCATATTCTTTGTAGATAAGAAGGATAGGAGCAGGAAAAAGAAAAAAAAGAAAAAGGGAATTAAATATGTGAGATAGAAACATATGTTCCACATATTATTTATAATTATTAAGTACTGTAGTTAGAAATAGATGAGAAAGGATATGTCAGACATTATATTCAATTATTTTGGCCTAATTAGATAATGTTATGTATCAATGCCTATTCTCATGTAGAGCATCAGAAATGGTTAACTGCAAAAACAGTTCATGTTTTTGTAGAAATGTCAATGATAAGCCATCCAGTCACGTGACACTTGCAAGGGATCATGGGAGAATACTCCTCTGGAATCCTCCTCCTTATCCGTCCAAAAAAGGATCTCAAAAAGTATTATTTTATATGTGTAAATTTTATATAAAAAGTGTACATAGTGAACATAAAATGTAAAAAGAGAATATATTTATGATATGATTTGTATAATATTTTAGTACAAATAGTACAAACAGGACATCGTTAAATAGATATTTAATTTGTAGTGGCCTCAGAGTCGAGGGCTTGACAAAGTAAATAAAATAAAAGGAGATTTATTTTTAGTTGTTTACAACTGAACAAATCAGTCGCCAAAAACTTATAAGATGAATATGGGAAATCTCAGTATACAATGAAATTAGAAAAATAGAAAATGTTCTAATCAATGTTTGGAATGTATTTCGATTCATGTTCATTGTAGTCATCACTTGTATATTGTAGTCATCACTTGAACACCATTGTAGTCATCACTTGCTCATTGTAGTCATCATTTGTGCACCATAGTAGTCATCACTTGCTCATTGTAGTCATCACTTGTGCACTATTGTAGTCATCACTTGCTCATTGTAGTCATCACTTGAACACCATTGTAGTCATCACTTGCTCATTGTAGTCATCACTTGAACACCATTGTAGTCATCACTTGCTCATTGTAGTCATCACTTGAACACCATTGTAGTCATCACTTGCTCATTGTAGTCATCACTTGAACACCATTGTAGTCATCACTTGCTCATTGTAGTCATCACTTGTTCACCATTGTAGTTATCACTTGTGCACTATTGTAGTCATCACTTGCTCATTGTAGTCATCACTAGTTCATTTCAAGTTACCCATGGTTCATTGGAGTCATCATCTGAGGGAATTGTATTTTTATTTTTTTATTATTTATTATTGAAAAGGGTTCATACAACCATATTCCAGTATAATACATACCGTATTTGCTGTAATTGGCGCCCAAGTTCCTATTAGCACCCCCCCCCCCCAGACTTTTGGAGGCCCGAGGTTGAGTCCCTGGGTGAAGAATCAACAATCATTAGGGTCAAACTTAAGAAATTAAGTGGGTGATTATAGAGTACTTTATAGAGTATGTTTTTATGTCACCACCAAAAGTGGTGACATATTGTTATGGTCTCCGTTTTTTTTTGCGACGGCGGTTGGTGGTTGGCGTCCGGCGTCCGGCGTCTGTAACAATTTCTTACAACTTCCTATAACTTAACAAATACTGTTTAGACTGACTTCAATTTTTTTCTAAATCATCTACATGTTCTCAGAAGTTCAAATCTGACTTTAGATTTGACATTTGACCTTCAATGACCTTCTCAAGGTCAAAAAGGTCTTTTTTCAACTTGCTTCACATTGACTAAATTTTTTTCAAAATCATCTACATGTTCTCAGAAATTCAAATCTGACTTTAGATTTGACTTTAGATTTGACATTTGACCTTCAAATCTGACTTTAGATTTGACATTTGACCTTCAATGACCTTCTCAAGGTCAAAAAAGGTCAAAAAGGTCTGTTTTCAACTTGCTTCAAATTGACTAAATTTTTTTTTCAAAATCATCTACGTGTTCTCAGAAATTCAAATCTGACTTAAGATTTGACTTAAGATTTGACATTTGACCTTCAATGACCTTCTCAAGGTCAAAAAAGGCCAAAAAGGTCTGTTTTCAACTTGCTTCAAATTGACTAAAAAATTTTTTCAAAATCATCTACGTGTTCTCAGAAATTCAAATCTGACTTCAGATTTGACATTTGACCTTCAATGACCTTCTCAAAGTCAAAAAAGGTCAAAAAGGTCTTTTTTCAACTTGCTTCAAATTGACTAAATTTTTTTTTCAAAATCATCTACATGTTCTCAGAAATTCAAATATGACTTTAGATTTGAGATTTGACCTTTAATGACCTTCTCAAGGTCAAAAAAGGTCAAAAAGGTCTGTTTTCAACTTGCTTCAAATTGACCAAATTTTTTTTTCAAAATCATCTACATCTTTTCAGAAGTTCAAATTTGACTTTACAAGTTCTCAGAAGTTCAAATCTGACTTTAGATTTGACCTTTGACCTTCAATGACCTTCTCAAGGTCAAAAAGGTCTTTTTTCAACTTGCTTCAAATTGACTAAAAAAAATTTCAAAATCATCTACGTGTTCTCAGAAATTCAAATCTGACTTAAGATTTGACATTTGACCTTCAATGACCTAACTAGGTGGTGACATTTTGTCATGTTAATGCCTTGTTAACATTTATAGTGTGTTCATTTTGCTGGAATATGGATGAATAGATCGCATGAGTGATTCTATTTTAAATGAACAATAATATAAAGTGAAACATTGCAAACTGTCAACATTATTTAGAAATCACTCTTTACATTCAAAGTATGGTACATGTATGATTTAATGCATCTGACATAGAAAATATATCAGTATTATACAACTTTGTGGCACTGAGTTGGCCAACCTCATAAGGTAAAGAGTATAAGTATTACCTTATAAAGCAGAATTGATGATTATGTTACCATACAAGGTGCTGTATTTATCAGTAGATTATCTTGTGAGACAATTTTTATCAATATCACGCTATGAGGTAGTATTACCTTATAAGGCAGTGTTGATTAATATTACCTTATAAGGAAATGATGATCAGTATTACCCCACAATACAATTCAGTGTTAATAAGCCATATTTTTTACATTAGAATGAACACTTTAAGATTTTAAACCAAAGACAGTTATACATGATATAGGTACAGCAAAATTTCATGTATGCACAAAAAAGAATAATTTATATTTTAAATGTAAAATGAAAAATGGAAATAAATTCTGTGGCTATGACCCTTCAATGTGTTATAAAATTGCTATTTATGTTATCTGTAAAAGACACTCTACAAAAGGCACAATCAGGGGCGAACTCCCGTGCAGTGATATATCTATATGGAAACACTGCACAGGAGTTCAAATCTGGGGTATTAGGCATTCTGATACTCATAGCATCTCTTTTTGTTGCATCGCAGAAGGATAGAGATGGAGAGGGCGTGGCTAACCACGGTGGGTATTTAGAACAACACTAAAACATATCCATATTCAATCAATGCTGCAAGGGATAACCTTTCATAGTATAGTTGATAACATTAAATGGGTTGTCATTTAAAACTAATGTGGGCTCTAATGTTTATTTAAGACATTTCTAATGAACTAAGATAATCAGCAATTTAACTCCTGAACAAGGAACTTGGGAATGAACTTATTTATATCTAGATTTGACCTTTTGCATTACAGGTCAAAATGGGAAGGGGTTATCGTCACTGGCTACATCTTTTCACCACTCATCACAACAGGACTGATTCAGTTTGACTCTATTAATATGATGAGAGTATATGTTGTAAAAAAATAATACAAAGCATATGGTTCAAACACCTATACATGTAATATAAATAGTACAAACTTGAAATAACAAAAAATGGATTTATACAATAATACAATATTTAAAATAATACAATATGGGACATAACAATAATACAACATTTTTGACATTGCAAGACATATCATTGCCAACATGGACCTCTATCCCAATGTTAACGACGAGACAATATGTGTAATAAACATGTACGGATTATAGTTTGAAATATGTTTTATACAGAAAGAAAGATGGCAGTATTGTCTAAAACGTCTCTAAATGTAACTACAGGGTGGTCAAAAAATGGAAACCCTGCATTTTCCATATATATCTTTGTCATTTTAAAAAACTCCTCCCTGATATTTCACACACTTGTACATCATTCAATCTCCTACCACCCTACCATATTTCATGACCATCAGATAGAGAGTCACAATTTGAAAGCACTTTGAATAACATGCATCAGGTTTGGCCATCATCGCGCTGTAAGCAAAACAGCACAGTTGTCAATGACCCGAATGCATTCATCAGCAGGTGTGGCCTGAAAGACACGGATGATCTTCCTTTTGAGGTCTGCAATTGTCCTGAGGTCATTCTCATATACTCACCCCTGCCATATCCTCACGTGAGGATATTTTAGATGAGTACAGGTTTCCCGACAGCGCAATAGTGCCCTGGAGCATGTTCTTTAAAGTGCTGTAACATGTAACTATTAATCTGATGGTCATGAAATAAAGTGGGCTGGTAGGAAATTGTATGATGTACAAATGTGTATTATATCAAGGAGTTATTTCTTAAAATGCCGAAGATATGAGGAAAATGGTGCACGGGTTTCCATTTTTTGACCACCCGTATGTACCATCCAAAAGCAGCCCAGGGTTACAAACACATGATTCGTGACTTGGACATGCATTGGATTTAAGATTCATCTCCAATAAATTAGAGAATCACCTATTTCAGGGTGCGTTGATCAGGAATGTGCTATGTAAAGGGAGAGGTTAATAATAAATCTGGCAGTAAAATACTAAGGCCCTTAAGGGAGCCCCCTTAGGCTAGAAAGTGCTTGAACAGTCTAGTTTGCATCAATTGAAATAGTTTCGATGTATTCCAAAATGCTCATTACGGGGAAATTGGTTCCAAACAATCCTGGTAAAAGAGCAGCAAAGAAGTGCGAAACAATGTTTTCCATTGAAAAGTAGGCGTCGCCTGCAATGTACGTAATCCAATGGGACGGAAAAAATGGCCGACGGACCAGTATAAACTTTATATATCCGATTTTGTAGAAAAAGATCAGTGAACTACCAGCACCATTTGTAACCCGTGTTAAAGGGCCGTTGTGATCTGAGAACATTCTTGAAAAAGGACACACCCTACACAACAATATTTAATGAGTTTAATGTATATCCGTGCGTTACACGGTCTCATATACCAAGGTTAAGATGCCCGTGTGAGTGCCCTGACGATTTTCAGAAAATAACACTACATTACATATTACAATACCAAGATCACCAGAATATTATCTGCAATTGGAAGAATTGGAAGAAGAAAACCTGAACTGTTTGGGTGTGCAAGAGGGGGTGCGGTCGCACCGTTTGCCTCCCCCCCCCCCTTCATTTGACGGGCGGCCTGCAACAGAAAAAAATGATACATGTCGAATTCGAGTTTAGGGGTTTATCGATACCTGCATCATCCCACCAATAAACACTATATTGTATGCGATTCTCTTATATGGATGGTGCAGATATGGATATCACTTGTAATAAAAAAGGTTTCCTAGTACGTATATACTTTAGAGGTGAGGCTCTGCCATCCTTCTTGTGGAAGGCAGACAGGCAACATAGGCGGTTAGATAGCCCTGCAGTTTCCTTGCAATTCCCGGTTGTGGCGTGTCAAGTGTTTCAATCTGACAGATTCACTCTCCCCTTGTGCACAGGACAGCGCGGAGCCACTGGCGTATCCAGTGGGGCCAATGGAACCCCAGGCCCGTAAGACACTTTTCTCCAAGGGGGGTGCGGTTTTTAGCTTAGTAAAGAGAATATAAAATTGTCAATTTTTTTGCCGCGTAAATCAAATCGCGTAAGTCAGAGGGGGGGGGTGGGGTGGGGGCTCAGTTACTCCCTATATTGGTTCTGAATTAACAAATGCAACTTCCAAACGTTCCAATTGTTTTATGTGGGCCGGGTGTGAGGAGTGATCCACTCCCCCTGGAAAATTTTACAGTTTTGAGGTGCTATTTGGTGCTTTCTGGGCACTTTCAAAGTGTAAGTTTGCAAGTAGTACGGCACCACCATTGGAATAAGAGTTGAGTGAATAAAAAACCGAGCATTCAGGGGGGTCTGGGGGTTCTCCCCCAGGAAAATTTTGAAATTTGGTTGTATTTGGAGCAAATTTGCAACCATCTGGTACGCCTGTGCGTTATGAGTCAATAAGAAAAATGTGTATTTTTTCAAATTCTTTTGGGGGTGTCAAGTGGATGAGAGGGTAAAGTGGGGTGTGGTGCCAGTAGGGGAGCAAGGGGTTGTCCCCCAGAAACATTGACCATATCAAGGTGCTATTTGATGATGTCTGGGCACTTAAAAAATGTCTGAGACAATACATGAAATTCAGAATATTTTCTTTTGTTTTGTGGGGGATGTGAGGGGTGGCTAACTCTCCTAGAAAATTTTACAATTTAAAGATGATATTTGGTGCTTCTCGGCACTTTTAAAGTGTATTAGTCAATAAAAACATTGAAAAACAATCACAATTTTTTTCAAGTGTTTGTCCCCCATATCAAAATTTACAATATCAAGGTGCTATTCGATGAAGTTTGGGCACTTTAAAAGTGTCTGTGCCTAAAAGTGCCATTTTCCCAAGAAAATTTTAAGATGCTATTTGGTGCTTTCTGAGCACTTTAGTCAATAAAGTCAATAAAAAAATTTGAACTTTTTTTTTGGGGGGGGGGGTTGTTAAGGGGGGGGGCTGCCAGAGGGGGAGGTGGAGTGGGGATGCCAGAGGGCGAGTAAGTGTTAGTCTTCCAAAATCATTAACTTTATCAAGGAGCTATTTGATGATGTCTGGGCAATTTAAAAGTGTCTGTGGCAATACATAAAACAAATTCAGAACTTTTCCATTGTTTTGTTTGGGGTGTGAGGGGTGGCCCACTCCCCTAGAAAATTTTACAATTTTACAACGCTATTTGGTGCTTTCTGGGCACTTGTATGAGTCGCAATTAAAGAATTTGAGAAAAAAATTTTCGGGGGGGGGGTCAAGGAGGGGGGGGGGCGCCAGAGGGGGGGTCTATGCAAGTGCAAGATGCAAGAGGGGGAGCAAGTTCCCCAGAAACACTAACTATATCAAGGAGCTATTTGATGATGTCTGGGCACTTTAAAAGTGTCTGAGACAAAACACTAAAATAAATTTAGAACTTTCCATTGTTTTGTGGGGGGTGTGAGGGGTGGCCAATCCCCCTAGAAAATTTTACAATTTTACAACGCTATTTGGTGCTTTCTGGGCACTTGTATGAGTGTATGAGTCGCAATTAAAGAATTTGAGAAAATCACAATTTTTTTCGGGGGGGGGGGGGTCAAGGAGGGGGGGGGGCGCCAGAGGGGGGGGGGGGTCTATGCAAGTGCAAGATGCAAGAGGGGGAGCAAGTTCCCCAGAAACACTAACTATATCAAGGAGCTATTTGATGATGTCTGGGCTATTTAAAAGTGTCTGAGACAAAACACTAAAATAAATTTAGAACTTTCCATTGTTTTGTGGGGGGTGTGAGGGGTGGCCAATCCCCCTAGAAAATTTTACAATTTTAAGATGCTATTTGGTGCTTTCTGGGTACTTTCAAAGTGTATGAGTCAATGAAAAAAAAATTACAAAAAAAAATATTTTTCAAAAAAAAAAATTTTCAAATTTTTTTTTTCAAATTTTTTTTGGGGGGTGACAAAGGGGGGTGCGGTCGCACCCATCGCACCCCCCCCCCCCCCCATCTGACGGCCCTGAACCCACACCCTCCCTTGGGTGGGACTAGAAAAAATGTTGGGCCAAAAAATATGTTATGCCCAAATATGTGGGCCTTTTACGGCATTACATGAAGTTGGCCTTTTTGCACCTTTATAGACCAAATCTTCATGACATTGGGTTAATGTACACTTTTTCATTGGAATTTACGTGTCTTATGTCACGTTGATAAAATTCTAAAAACTGGTACACTGTACTCTCGGTATTTTTCACGTCAGATTGAATTACTCACAATGGTTAAATTTGCCATTTAAATTCCCAGGTAAATATGAAACTGGGTAGACAAATGATAATGATTACTGTACGAGAGAGAACAATGCATGCAATTTAAACTTTTGAAATCGCAAATTTTATAGCCGCGATATATGTCTGTAGTACAGCAAGGACGTCAACCTCGAGGTTGACGTCCTTGAGTACAGTAACTGCAATTCGGTCACTTCGTTCTCGTAAAACTGTACAAAATCCAGGCATCATTTTTACCTAGTTTTTGTTAACTCACTTATCACGTAAGCATAAAATAAGAATACATAAAATAACCGATCGTATGTAACACCAAGATGTCCAGAATATTGTCTGCAATCGGAAGGATTGGTAGAAGAGCAGTGAAACCTGAAAAGTTGACTTCACATGTTAGAGGACTCTCTTTACTTTCAGAAGATATCTTGAAAACGGATGTGGAAGAATGGAAAAATGATAGAGTTGTATTCGTATGGGTAAGAATCAAATAGTTATTATCACTCCAATTTTCTGCAAATGGGCTGCGCTTTGCATGATATCTCCGAAAAATCTGGAAACTTGATCGAACCCTGGAAAAACCAGGAAAAGGTGGAGCAGCAAAAACTTTAATGCGATGAAAAATTAAAGGAATTAGTAGAAACATGGGCTTTAAATTTGAAAGCCCATGGTAGAAATTGTAAAAAAGCATGTTATTTCCCAAGTGTAAAATGTTGAGAGCAATCTTTTAAAGAAGCATGTTATTTCTCAAGTGTAAAATGTTGAGAGCAATCTTTTAAAAAAGCATGTTATTTCCCAAGTGTAAAATGTTGAGAGCAATATTTTAAAAAAGCATGTTATTTCCCAAATGTAAAATGTTGAGAGCAATCTTTTAAAAAAGCATGTTATTTCCCCAAGTGTAAAATGTTGAGAGCAATCTTTTAAAAAAGCATGTTATTTCCCAAGTGTAAAATGTTGAGAGCAATCTTTTAAAAAGCATGTTATTTCCCAAGGGTAAAATGTTGAGAGCAATCTTTTAAATAAGCATGTTATTTCCCAAGTGTAAAATGTTGAGAGCAATCTTTTAAAAAAGCATGTTATTTCCAAAGTGTAAAATGTTGAGAGCAATCTTTTAAAAAACATGTTATTTCCCAAGTGTAAAATGTTGAGAGCAATATTTTAAAAAAGCATGTTATTTCTCAAATGTAAAATGTTGAGAGCAATCTTTTAAAAAGCATGTTTTTTCCCAAATGTAAAATGTTGAGAGCAATCTTTTAAAAAGCATGTTATTTCCCAAGTGTAAAATGTTGAGAGCAATCTTTTAAAAAGCATGTTATTTCCCAAGTGTAAAATGTTGAGAGCAATCTTTTAAAAAAGCATGTTATTTCCCAAGTGTAAAATGTTGAGAGCAATCTTTTAAAAAAGCGTGTTATTTCCCAAGTGTATAATAGCATGCTTTTTTAAAAGATTGCTCTCAACATTTTAACACTCAAGGTAAATAACAGGCTTTTTTAAAAGATTGCTCTTAACATTTTAAGCAATCTTTCAAAAAAGCATGTGTTTTCCCAATTGTAAAATGTTGAGAGCAATCTTTTAAAAACATGCATATTTCCTTACAATAATGATTTTATTTTCTGGAAAAAGAACTGACATAGCCGATTCACTATAGAAATATCCCAAAATGAAATGAATAAAGAATCGTCTTATTTTACGAAACTGTTCTTCAGAAAACCTGAACGTCGAAAGAGTATCCCCATATAGAGAGAAAAATTTTCGAAAAGTATGGCATGAAACTTTTACAGCAAAAATATCAAAAACCGTGTCAATTTTTTACTCTATGATCGTCTCCATTCCTTCTCCATTAAAAGGGATATTCCTTGCCAGATCATTTCTCTCCTGTAGCTATAACCATATACTTTCCATATTTGGCAAAACACGGGACAATCAATATGATCAATGATCATTCAAATCATAGTTCTTATTATGGTAATAGCTACCATACTTGGATAGAAATGGTCTGGTAAGGAAAATCCCTAATATCATGTTGGCATGGAAGGAGATGTAAACTGAGAATAGTTGATTGATGGCTTGTTTTTGATTTATGAGGGGTTGGGATTGCTCTGTTTCCTTGAATGGTACCCCTTGTGAGTTATTAATTCCGTAGCACATTTTCTTTTGAAGCACGGTGAAGACCACAGGCCAATAACAAAAGCTCTAGAAATCAAGGAGGGGTCAACCATATTCAGCATAGCATCTGCAGGTTACAACCCGTCAATGCTGCTTCTAGAAAACCCAGCAAAGGTAGTCATGACTGATATCAACCCTACTCAGATTGCCTGGTGCATGCTTTACTTTAGTGCTATCAAGAATCTTACGTATGAAGAGTTTCGAAGCCTGGTTGGATTTGGTGAAGGTGCTACAACCACCTCCGATGAGAGGGGGAGAATTTACGACAGTCTGAGAGGTTCATTGCCGAGTAATGCATTAGTCTATTGGGACTTCCACCGTGACAGTATGAGCAAGTCGGGAATGTACTTATTTGGGAACTTCATTCGCTACTGGGGTTTGGAGAGATTTGCACCAATAGCTCACAGCGAGGAAACTTTGGACAAGTTTTTAAGTTTTGGAGATATTGACCAGCAGCGTGTTTTCTATGAGGAACAATGGGACACATGGCGATGGCGAAGAGCTTTTATGCAAGCCCATCTGAATATTTCACCAGTTGTATTTCGCCCATTTATGGATCTATTGCCACAACTTGCTCCGAGGTGGTTGAGTCGCTTCCGGGAAATTTGCATGAGTGTTCCTAATATGGACAATCCCCAAATTGAGATACACTTAACTAGCAAAATCTCGGGAAAATACGGTTTACCAGATTTCTGGAAACGGGAAAATTTCGTCCCGATTCGTGAGCGCCTAGATAAGTTTGAGCTCATCCACGCTGATGCAAATGAGTACCTCGAACGTACATCTGAAAAGTTTGATGGCTTTGTTCTATCAAATGTAGGAGATGCGTATGGCAAAGAAAAACATGACCAATGGGTTACAAGAGCCATAAAGCGTGGAAAGCCTGGAAGTAGGATCACGTACCTCTCTGTCGCAGGTACAAATAAAGGATGGCCTGATGCTGAAAAGGACAGCATTCGTGTTGAGCAAGAGCTGTCTAGCCTGCTACAAGGAATAGAACGAGGCTTTCTCTGGGATGAGTTTCATATTGCTACGTTGAAATAAACTGCAACTATTCAGTGTAGGAATGCTGGTTGATAATTTTGAGAATGAGAGCCTTGATCCAGCCCCAGGGGTATCATGAGTTATAAATTGATATTAATTTTCAAGAGAAACATAGGTCCAACATTTTTTTACCTGATAGTCTGTGCAGTTATACCCTATTGAAACATTTGAAACATTTAGTAAAATTGAGATGTAAAATCAAATATTAAACAAAAAATGTTTGTAAAGATGTAAAATGTTTGTTTTGTTTATTCAGTGTAATTATACTGTAATCGACTGTATAAATATCATGATTCATTCATGGTAAAAATAGAGTGAAAACGCAATGAAAGATGAACAAATTTTCGGACTTTCGAAGGTCAGCGAAAGGAGGTACAGTATCTCAAAATCATCTTTTTCTAGCACAATAATTCACTTCACGAGTATTTCGCGAATATTTTTGGAGACATTATATTTGAGACAGGAGGAAATGTGTAGGTCAGTTATGTACACGTTGCATGCAACTTTATCACCTCTATAGATCTGATGCCGTTCGTTAAAATTTTCCCAGTTTCCTCAATAGGTCGAAAATTGATGATGAATCCGATGAATTTTTGAAAATCGGCATTCCCATGGAAACCAATGGGAAATGGTACGTTTGCCAAAATCAGATTTGTTTGCATGGGAATGACGACTTTCAAAAATTCATCAAAATCATCAAGTTTCAACCTATTGTAATTGAGGAAAAAATGGCCCGGAAAATTTGGAGGCATTGGAAATGAAGTCGAGTTACTATACGTTTCCATCAATATTATAAGCTTGCGTATTTTCCTCGCAGGTTATGTAAATAATTAAAAATTCAAACATGTACATAAAGAGGCTTTAACACGTAGTTCAATGAGGGAGCTAAGGTTGCCAAACTTCTGGAGAGGAGTGCAGGCGCGTATCGTCATGTACGCAAAATACGCCCAGGCGTACTGTTTGAATTTGAAAAAATATTTTGAAAAAAACATGAAATTCATTATTTTCGATTCAAAATTCTAAAATCACCTTCCCGTCTGAGAACGATCATGAAGTTCGTAAATAGACCTTAGAAAGTTGCAGCTACGTTCATTCCGTTCGCAAACAGTTTAAAACCAGTTTTGAAGAACGCAGTGGCAACTTGTTTGGTGTGATAGCTATATTTTGCTAACTCGTTCATAAGCAGTCTTAAATAAGTTCTTAATCAATTTAAACTCGTTTGCAATTAGTTCTGCCTCGTTCTCAATACGTCCTCAGACAATTCAACTAGTTGATAAAACGTCCCTAGTAGGATTGAAGTACGACGTTTCCGTTCGTAGTACGTTCAGCTCATCGGTAGTACGTTGTCACTCGTTCTAATTGTAGAACGTATCGACCACGAGAACATTTTGAGCATGTTCTAAGTTCTAGGGGATCTACCCGTTCGAGTACGTTCGATAAAGTTTGTAAATAGACCCCAAACGGTTCTAAGTACGTCCAGTCCGTCCGTACACAGTTGAAGCCCGTTTTCGAGAACGTAGTAAAAACTAGTTTGGTGTGATAGTAGGGTAACAATAAGTTCTCGATTCCCTCATTGTCATTCACTGTTTTCGCGATTCAAAGATTCAAATTTTTTCGTGATTCAAAGAGTTGCGTCATTCTTGTACGCTTCTTCATGGGGTCCATCCCGGCAGAGTACACGCTCAAAATCAGCAAATTCAGTACGTATAAACCTGAGTATCACTTGACATTATTGAATGTAAGAAGTAATTTTTTATTCATCCACAAAATGACCACGATACGCGCCTGGAGTGTAACTAAGATTTTATTTAGTCTCTGTGCAGGTTACCCGTGAATTTATTTATTGAAAATAAATTGAACATATTAATACTCAGATAGTTGAACACGTTTAACGATTAGTCTAAAACGCGTACGTAGCCTAATATTATTGAAATTTATAATTTGATGAATTAAACAAGTGACATCTATTTGAGACTCGTTTCTCCGTTCTTTTGTCTCTATACTGTCTCGCCATCTATTTATTACCATTAAAAGTCATCGAGACACAGGTCATACAGTATACAGACTCCCGATTGTGGCAAATACCAGTCATTGTTAAATAATTTTTGGGGAGCACGTCACCGAGTTAGGTTCACCAGCCTCTCATTTATCAAACAAAGCTATCATCCTGATTTAAAACCTATATCACTGCATATACTGGAAAATAGCCTAGCTTAGACTGCACAGTTCCCTAAATCTATGTGCTGATGAGCACTCCTTTCAGTACAACTGTACCGATATGGGAGTGCTCCATCAACAAAAATAGAGATGTAAATTATTCTTTGATGATACAGCATTTCCATTCAGCATCCTTATATTCCTTTGTACAAAAAAACAACTTCTTTGATTGGTTGCCATGACTTCACTGTCATCTACCAATTCATAGCTAATTTTTCCATATTTCAACCCTTAAAATATTGAAAATGCCATCCAAATAACTTGGACAGCAGGCCTATAGCAAAAATCACTCAAAAATTCTCAGAATAGTGAAAAACTGCATGATTTTGAAATAGCTTTTGGCGAGGGGGTTCGCTCAAACTCATCGAACCCCCCCCCCCTATCAGCCTGGAGAGGTTGCTGAAGATGTTATCTGCACAAGAACTGCATATCCGTCCTTACCCCTGTATTGTTCAAATTCTCAAGAACAAAAAACATGTCTTCATTTTTATAACTATATTATGTTTTACAAATATACAAAAATACATACATGACATGACACTACAAGTAAAGCTATTTGCACATGCTGTATACAGGTACATAATGAAATTTATTTGACAAGCCTCGTACTAAACTAAAAGTCGATAATAAAAGTAGATTGTCATCTCAATCTAATGTTTCATAAAATAATTCACAAAAGTTTTGAGACAAATTCATTTTGATACATAATTTTAGAAATAATTCATTGTCAATTTAAAATTAAATGTTGTCAATTGAGTACCCTTTGCATTCGTTCGACTTTGCTTCTTAAAAGAGAGCTTCATCTTCAGGTAGTTTATAACTAGAACTAGACTCTGCTCGCAGGGTATCAATTGAGCTCCCTAAATGCCTATAGGAATTCAATTGTAACTTTTAAAATAAGAAAATGTCATGTAAAACTCGTAATGATTAGAAATTTCAAACCGGTATATTATGCCTAAATTGTCATAATTTAGTATAAACTGCCAGGCTTGTTAGCCTTTAAAACATAAAAACTTATTTGATTACAATTTACACTGTTTTTCCGTGGAATATAAATGAAGACAAAAATGTCTATGAAAAGAATATGAAATTGAAGATTCGAGATCAATGTTATAAGTTAAAGGCCCATGTGATAATTTCAAACTTTGCATGGGGCCTTTAACACATTGCATTTTTGTCAAAAAGGAATATAAAATACAGTAACTCAAAAAGTTGAGACAGACATGTAAATATGTACCAAATATGTACCTACGCATATCAGTATTTCCAAGTTCACTCGGCCAATTTTTTTAGTTTTTGAATGATTTAACACTTTCTATTGTAGAACAGAAATATATGGCCAATTCAAATGATCTTTTTTAATAAATGAGGTTTTAGATTTTAACAAAATAAAGTCAAACAAATGAGAATTCAACTAAGTGAGGCCAACCAAGGAGAATACATTTTACAGAATTGGGCCAAAACAAGTGCAACTTGGAACTAAAATGCTGCTTTTCTACATTCACAACATTACTTATGTTTGCTTGATGTGACTATAATACCAGCTGTATATAAAACTATTTGCAAATATATACAAGCTGACATATATGACTCATGAAAATTGCGTAGTCTTTGTATAAAGTATTCAGACAATGTACAGATTCGTACTTGCCAAAAGAAAAATTTCTTGTTGATTTTTCTGTGAAGTTTATATTATTTTTTGCGTAGAGAATTCTAATTTAGTTTTCTTCACATCACATTTGATTATGAAAAAAGCAATAATTAAAAAATCATGTAATAGTGACTTTTTTATAATCCTCTTGATACATCTTGCTGTAAAATATTGTAGACTGGCAAGGAGGACTCTGTAAATGCTGAATTTTCATTCATTCTCTATTTTCTCATTTATTTTCAGCTGATTTGCAGTAAATATGTACTATCTACAGGCACTATATAAAATATTTATATTACTATGTCTATCTATACAGAATATCGCTGTACAACAACTAAAAGTAAATAAAACATTGGATTTTCATGTTGAAATAGCTCCCATTGAAATCTTCTGATGCAAATTGACCCTTTGGAAAACAAACCAAAAATTAAAAGGAAATATATATCTGAGTTTGGTTGACCCTACAGTAAGTCAGAGTCCAATTTTTGTCACATGTATTACCCTTTCGCATAATAACTATAAATGGATGATGTGTATGAGATTAAATTGATGTTGAATGTTACTGAAGTCAAAGGGTGATTATGCACGACCAGTGTCCACTTTCGTTCATTCTGTCGACTCTGGTGCCTCAGCAACAGCCTCGGTGGGAGCAGCATCTGCACTTCCATTAGCATCATTACTAGCTTCGTTGCTTTCGCCATTTGACTCTGGCTCCACATCAATCACTTCCTGAGCGGCTTCGGGGTTGATTCCAACGACAGTTTGGAAAAAGTTCTTGAGAAGAGTATCAAGCTCGGATTCCTCGTAGTCTCGGCACAGGAAGTTCTTGTCATTATTAGCACCACGAATCATTGCAGAAAGTACTGGAATTAAATCAAATGCGTCACAGTTTACAGCAGGTTCTTCAGAATTTCTGACAAAAGGAAATGGAATGAAAATGAAAACAACAAACAAAATGATCAGATGATAACTATCAGATTGAAGCCTAAAAATTATTGATGGATGGACTGATGAATTGATAAGCAACAAAATAATTCAAGTGACAACTTAGGAGATTATTGGAAAGAAATACATACCTTTGTCTGGTTGAGGTCTGTAAAGGCAAAGGACCTTCTTGTCCATAGCAACAGCTCGGCCTATTTCATAGCCCACACCTAGAGATGGTTGTGTAACCTCCGCAACAACAGCTGAAATAGACCACACATTTGAGTCAGGTGTACATAAGGTCATTCATACACAGGCAAAACTTTAGATTCTCAAAAATTGCATTCTGTCATTTCACATGACATGGTATTTGGAGGCATCATTTCTCCCACATATTGTAGTCCCTTATGCTCAAAGTACTGACGAGTATCTATGTTAAAATAAGAACTCTTTCAATTTAGATGCATGATACTTAACGTGGGTTTCATTCATAGCATTACACTAAAGTGTATTCAAATTTTTGAGAGATGTCATAAAAATATCAAGAAAATATATTGCATTTAACTTTTATTGCGATTATAATTTTTAAGTTTCAACTACTCATCGAAAGGTTAGTTATATTGAGGTTAGTAAGTTTAAAAACCCAAACAATAATGTGCTGAAGTGAACTCCCACAAAAATTATTACAAATCTGTTACTTTGTACCATACCGTTATCTCATAACTTGTTTTAGTTGATTTAAGCCAACTTTTTTTAAGTAAACCCTTTTCTACATTACTAGATAAAGTAATGGGTATGTAAAGTGAGTAGACTCAGGATGTCAAACCCTGAAGCAGAGGGGTTGTAGTAATTAAATATGATAAAATATTAATGACCCAAACAGTAGCTGTTGACCTTTCAAAAATCCTCATACATCATTTGAGGTAGAAGCAAGGCATAGAGTTGATTATATAAATTCACATAAAGTACAGACCATTGTTAGTATAGCAACATACAATTTCACAAAACGGTATTCAACGATACAAGTACTCAAAATAAGAAATGTCTAAAAGGGTGAGCTCTGAGCTGGTCAGGATTAAACATTTGTTTTGTTTGGCTTTTCATGAGCAAAGTTATATGAAACTTCACTCACCCGACGATGCTGAGAGCCATTTCATATCTATGCCGTGCATTTTTATCTCGTCATTTTCCAGCGACACTTCAACTATAAGACACAGAAAATTAAGTGTAAAAATAACTTGTGTTTTCTTACCAGTTGATTGGTTAAGCCAGACCAAGTCTCTGTCATGGATAAACTTCTCGTCTCTGACGGCATCTAATAATTGTAAGAAAATTAAAGACAAGTGAACATTTTTTGACATATACATATTCTATCAAAAGGTGGGAAAAATTGCAATTTGAAGACAAGCAGATATGGATAGACAAACTAGAAATAGGCAACTCCACGGAGAAGGAAATCCCAACGAACACTATATAAATCATGAATCTGTACAGTCACAATGTAATTTTTACCATCTATTCTTCCCTTCAATAAACACTAGAGACCGGGCACTAGAGATCATTGTAGTATCATGTAACCATACTTGAAGATATCTCAAGTAATGGCGAATTCCTGCTCTATGCAGCCATTTTGAATTTTCTGAGGCATAAATCAGAAAAACAATACCACATTTGTGATCTACTCTAAAATTCCTTCAATTTGAGTGTAATATAGCCATACTTCTAAGAGATCAGAAAATTATTGCGAAATCCCACATTAAGCGTTTCGCCCCATTCACTGCCCCTGGGGGTCAGGGTGAAAAACACAGACTATATGTGAAATAGATATATTTTTTGAATATACATTTCAAATAAATATAGGTTATTTCATGCTTGATTTTCAATATGAATTTTATTCCAGGGTAATATGTTATTGACCGAGGGAAATATGATATTGACCGAACGAGCGTAGCGAGTCAGTGTCAATATAATATTTACCGAGGTCAATGTCATATTTCCCGTGGAATAAAATTCATATCGAAAATCAAGCATGAAATAACCTTTTTATTCCATAATTTAATTTTTGAGAATTCAAGGAAGAAGATATTTCAAGAAAATTGAAAAATTGAAAATTTTGGGAAAAAATGAAAAACTGGTTCAAAATTGAATTTTTTTTAAACAAATGAAAATATTTGAAAAATTGCAATTTTTTGAAAAAATGAAAATTTCTGAATCTTTTTTATTCGAAAATTGTTGGAAAAATCAAATTTTTTGGAAAAAATTGATTTTTTGAAAAAAAAACTTTTTTTGAAAAAAATAGGGACAATATGATTTTTTTCCAGGGACAATATGATTTTTCAAGTATATATGATTTTTTTTACAGGGACAATATGATTTTTCGAGTGCATATGATTTTAAGAGGGATAATATGATTTTATTTCCCAGGGAAAACAGTAGTATTATGGAATAATAATGTTTATTACTTTGGTCATGGGCTTTCAATAGATATTGAATGCCCATGCTTTGGTTTAACATTAAAAACATAAGATTTTTGCGAAAAATTTCTGCCATCTTCCGGAGGGACAGACATAAGCTCAAGCTTTATAAGCTTCATAAGCTCAAGCTTTATAGGAATAGTGGCTTACACCATGACAGATGGACTGATGAACAGACACCCTATATGCTCAGTATGAGCCAAAATTAAATTATTGCAAATTGGAGTTATAATACAGTCATTTTCATCAAATGCTTTCCAATTTTTGAGCTCTTCATTGAAGTAAAATTCTTCATCAAAAAATTTGAATTTCAGCTGCAATCTGTATTAAAATCTTAATGCACCATATTCCTTACCTTCTGCAGTTGCCTTGTCACTACCAACATGCTCAGTTAGAACATTGCCGTATTTCTTCAGCTTATTGATGATGCGCTGGTAGAGGTCAGCATCTTGGCGTCCACCTCTGATACTGCCACAGAAATAGATGGTAGACATAATGTGTACCTGGAAACAAATTGAAATTATTTTTTCATTGTGTCTGTTATCGGAAATTCTCATGAAACCCTGCATGAATTCAAATTTCAAAGTTTATTTATACAAATTTTGTAGAGATCTGCATCAAGGTGATCACCTTAGATAATGCCAATGAAATTGATGTTAGACTATAGGGCATGTCCTCTATTTTAATTTTCAAGAATTCAACATTCCCTTATGATTTTATTCCTGAAGAAAATCTGAAATTCCTCGTCTTTGTCCTAGTAGGGAAAACCATATCATGTCATACTTCTTGACAATGGCAACCCTGCTTTATCAGATTAACTCAAGTGATTGAATCAGCAACATTCAAGTAAGGTACTGAAGTACAATAAACATTAATAATAAAAAAACTTCAAATACATCTTACAAAAAAGTGCACCTTATATTTTTCAAAGATGCTCTTGAAAGATAATGATAAAAAATTAGTACCATGGGTACTGGGCTCACATGGTCACATTTTTTGCTGATTTTTTGTTACAAAATTATTTCAAGCCATCTGTCTCTCAGTCAATTAAAATGGCTGAAAAAAAAACGGATATAATTTTTTGCCAATAATTTGTAACAAAATTATTTCATACAACTACTCTTTACAGTGACATGGCTTTTTGCAATGCAAGACACCTAAAATTATTTGTAAAGCTAGGAAATGGGCCAAAATTGAATTTCGCAAGACAAAAATGGCGACCATTTTGAAATCAGGCAAGCTTTTGAACCAGGAGTCATAGGGGAGTTGTTTGTATTGATGTTGAACAAAAATAACTTGAAACTGGAATCCTATTGACAGAGGTTTTAAGCAAATGGTCCAAAAGAGGATTTCCCGAGACAGATGGACAAATCAATGTTAACTAAAATGGCTGAAAATAAAAAAAACGGATATAATATTTTGCTGATTATTTGTAACAAAATAATTTCATACAACTACCTTTTACAGTGACATGGCTTTTTACAATGCAGGACAGCTGAAATTATTTGTAAAGCTAGGAAATGGGCAAAAAGTGAATTTTGCGAAACAAGAATGGCAACCATTTTGAAAATAGGCGAGCTTTTGAACCAAGAGTCATAGGAGAGTTTTTTGTATTGATGTTGAACAAAATTAACTTAAAATGGGAATCCTATCGACAGAGGGTTTAAGGTAAATGGTCCAAAAGTGGATTTTGCGAGACAGATGGACAAATCAATGTTAACTAAAATGGCTGAAAATAAATAAATGGATATATCAGAAACAAGTCAAATTCTTTACTTCAGAGAATATTTTTAATTTATTGAGACTTTCGACTAATATCCCTTAGTCTTTTTCAAAATATAACAGCATGTATACATTTATGTGACGTCATAAACATGTCGTTACATGCTGTTATATTTTGAAAAAGACTAAGGGATATTAGTCGAAAGTCTCAATAAATTAAAAATATTCTCTGAAGTAAAGAATTTGACTTGTTTCTGATATATTAACCAGAGAGATGAACTTACATAGAACTAAATGGATATAATTTTTCGCTGATTTTTCGTAACAAAATTATTTCATACATCTACTCTTCACATTGACATGGATTTTTACAATGTAGGACACTTGAAATTATTTGTAAAGCTAGGAAATGGGTCAAAAGTGAATTTCGCGAGACAAAAATGGCGGCAATTTTGAAAATAGGCGAGCTTTTAAACCAGGAGTCATAGGCTAGTTTTCTGAATTGATGTTGAACAGAAATAACTTAAAACAGGAATCCTATCGACAGAGGTTTTAAAACGTGCCACAGAAAGTGGATTTCGCGAGTCAGATAGACAAATCAATGTTAACTAAAATGGCTGAAAATAAAAAAATGGATACAATTTTTCGCTGATTTTTTGTAACAAAATTATTTCATATATC